TTAGGGATAAAAATCTTAAGTTGTGGATCCAAAGGAAGAGGAACTTTTTCTAATCACATACAATGTATGTATTGATTTAATTTGAAGAAAAAATATTCAAATATAGATCCAGAGAATTTTGTGGTGGATCCAAGGGTCTAATCTTTTGAGAGGGGGATCCAAGGGGAGTGGGAAATATATTATGAATTAAAAAGTTTGAGATATTAAAAGTACTTTATATTTAAGAATAAATGATTTTTGATATATATGTTAAACCTATGAATAATTGAGAACATCAGGCATGTCTAATGTTCATGGCTCTTTATCGAAAGGGAGAGGAATGTAGCTTTATCTTATAATATGAAGTTTTGTTTTAAGCTTAATGTCAAAGTTACATAACTTTAAGCTCAATATAAGTGAATTATATAGATCCAAAGAATTAAGTGATGGATCATAGGATCCAGGTTTTTGAATGAGGGATCCAAGGGGAGTGGGGAATAATTTATCAATTTAAAAAAAAAGAAAGAGATATTCATGAAAAAAAATTTGAAATATAGCTATGTAACTCTTCTGTATGGGAGATAAGAAAATTTATCCTTTATATGAATGAGTCATATATTATATATAGGTTTGAATTATATATAGATTCAAAGAATTTAGTGGTAGATCCAAGGGTCTATTCTTTTGAGTGGGGGATCCAACGGGAATGGGACATAATTTTTTAATTAATTTATAAACAGCATTTGCATATCCTTATATTTGAAAAAAAAGATATTACACGTGTTTACAATTTGATAACAAATAATAGGATCAATTAAATTTTAATTAAGTTGTGGATCCAAAGGAAGAAGAACTTTATCTAATCACATATGTATTGATTTAATTTGAAGAAAAAAATATTCAAACATAGATCCAGAGAATTTTGTGGTGGATCCAGGAGTCTAATCTTTTGAGAGGGGGATCCAAGGGGAGTGGGAATATTTTATGAATTAAAAAGTTTGAGATATTAAAAGTATATTTATTTTAAAGTAAATGATTTTAATATGTTAATCAGGTCTCAAGAATAAATGTTTTATGTTCAGGCTGTTGATTGAAAGTGAGAGGAACATACCTTTATCTGATACTATAAATTATTTTTTGATTTCAACAAAATGATATCAAGCACACGTACATAACTTAAGCTTAACATGAATGAGTTAAATAGCTCCATAGAATTAAGTGATGGATCCAAGGATCCAGTTTATTTGGTGATCCAAGGGGAAATTTGAAGGAAAAAAAGAAATATGAAATAAATATTGAAATATATATAGCAATGGTACTCTTCTGTATGGGAGATAAGAAAGTTTATTCTTTATATGAATAAGTCATATAGAAAATATATCTATGTAACATGAATCATACATAGATTCAAAGAATTTATTGGTGGATTCAACGGTCTCTTCTTATGAGTTGGGGATCCAAGGGAAGTGGGACATACCAAGATAATTTATGAATTAATTAATAAACAGAATTTGTTATCTCTAAGAACAAATGATTTTGCTACTAACAAGGTTTCAAAAATATTGAAAAAAAAAATGAGGAGCAGACATGTCTGAAATTATTATATCTTGGAAATAAATTTGAAAATAAGACAAGACAATATTAATGTCTCCATTCCAATTTTCATGAAATCAAAGATATATAATGAAGATTACATGGGTTTTTTTACCCTAAGTAACAAAAACGTGGGGGAAAAAAACCCACATGTAATTTTTAGTCATGTATGGGTTTAAAAACCCCACGAAAGATTATATGGGTTTATTTCCCCCATGGGGAAAATTTTAAACCCCATGGGGTTTTTGTGGGGTTTTTCATGGGGTAATTTTAAGTACATGTTTCCCCATGGGATTTTTATCTTTGCCACTTAATATCTCAAAAACTAGCTAAAAATGTTGGATTTTTTATTTCATAAATCAATTTAAATATAAAAACCCCACCATTTAAAAAAAAATCCTAAGATAATAGCTTTAAAGGAAAAAGGTGCGCAAGTTCGGAAAAATGTCCATTCCGAAGTTGTCCGTCCCACTGTTATGTATTTTCTGAAGCTAGAGCGTACCAATGCACTATCGTCAAAGGTTATACTGAAAATTTTCTAGATATTATTTAGGTCTAAGTATACAAGTAGGCTTCAAAAATCCCCAAAGATTCTAGCTTTGGAAAGGTTTTGAAGTAATGATGGAAAAACTTTTATATAAGTTAAAATTATTTAAGTTTCCTTCGTATAGTTTTCTTTTTGATTTTCTGATGCCTTTCGAAGATCGGCTATACTTGGAAGAACACAATAAATTCGAGTTAAGTTGGTAAATGTCAATTGCCCATGTAGACATTGTGTTTCACATGCTGTTTAGGATATTTTACAGATATATTTTTTTGGCCTGTGCAGCCATAAGTTCGTTGATTTTCTTGATGGAAAAGAATTTATTTTTCAAATGTCAGCCGGTGCATTATTTTCAGTTTATAGCCGGTGCATACATACATGTACCAAGATTCTGATAGCAACCATAACTTAAGAAGATCGTGTTTTGTCTAAAAATCCCTTTCAAAATACATCTTTTCAAATAATTTTTATTATATCTACGTATTATTATAGATTGACACATCTTTACATACCAAAATGAACACTATCTAACCTATAAATGATGAAAAGAAGCATGAAAACTTGGAGTATATTGACTTGAGAATGTGTACAGGCTTCTAAAATTTTACTATATTTAAATTTTTAGAAGGTTGTTCTACAAAATACATCTGGCATCATTTAAAGAAATTCCTTACTTGTTCCGTGCACAAGGATTTTTCCAAGACTTAATCGATTTGGGGTCACTTTTTGACAATTTTACCTCTTTTTCCAAGTGTCTCTAACATATTTATTTCAGCTAGCAGCCGTACAATTTTCGAATAGAAACATTGAACGCTTTTTTGTTCTGATAGCAACCGTTTAGGTACTACACCGTGTATAGTGAAGCTCCAAACAGATCAGTATTACGTTACGCATTATTCGTAGGGAAAGTAGTCCCGGAGAATTGACACTGTATGGAGTTTGACTGTATTGCTTTAAAAATGATAGTTGAATGGCGTAATTTGTGGCAACTCAGCAGAAAAAATAATGTAAATATAAGAAATGAATTTCATTTTTGAAAATTCATGAGGTATATATTCACGCCGGCGTGAAGCGTCGTAGTTCATGTCCTCATGACTCTTCAAAAATTGAATTCATTTCTTAAATATTTACATTTCCAAATATTTTTCCTTAAGATTCTTTGCAAAATAAGAAAAAGTTCATGTTCTCATGAACTACCGTGGAATGAGTAAGAATATTTCCAATGTGGTGTGATTGAAGTAAAAAAATAGAGCAAACTTTTTTTTCAAAAAATGATCGTTGAAAAACAAAAATATGTGCCAAGACATCAAAAAATAATCTAAGTATAACGCGCTTCATGAAATATGCCGGCGTGAAGCGTCGTAGTTCATGTCCTCATGAATTCTCAAAAATTAAATTCATCTCCTTAATATTCTCTGTAATATCGAAAATGAGAAAGAAAAACCAAGTACCTTCACTTTTTTTAATGGCTTTTTTTTTTTTTTATTTAAAAACATTTTTAAGTCATCAGTTTCATCATATATTTAACAAATGAGAAAGGAAAGAACAGAAAGAAGGGAAAATAGAAAGTCTTGTACAAAAGGCTGAAAAAGAAACATTACTGCCTGACAAACCATTATTAACAACCCCAAACCTTAATAATCATTCTTAATAAAATAGGAAAATTACCTTGTATATAAATTATAGCACAGGGACCAGTACATACTGTAATCTACCTAATTCCTTTTTCACTTCTGAATTATAAAGACAGAATGAAAAATAGTTTTCATACAACCCCTCAATCGCTTAATACGAGATTTCAACATCAATCTGATGTTCTTAATCCATTCTAACAAAGAGTCAAGTCTTCTTTTTCGTGTTTGGCCCATCGCCTGGCGTAATCTTCCACCGAATTCATAATATTTATAAAATTATGACGCCAGCTGAAAGAACGGGGTTCCCTAAATTTTGGCCCTTTTAAAATAAGGGATTTAAGGTCCTCCCTCATAATTAACTATGTTTACATCAGCAGTAATGACGTGTCCTGTTCCTCCTGCAGACGACAAGTGTTCTTTGTAACACCATTTATTCATATCTTCCTTTTCTCTCCATGGTAGGCATGTCTAAGGGAATCGTGAAAATCAAAAAATACTGGCATCAATTTTATATACATCAATTTTATTAACAAGAAATTGATAAAAAAAAAAAAATAATAATAATAATTAACAAACAGAAAAATTGGCAGTGTTAGTTACAAAATTATCAAAATGAAATCATACAGATGCACTGGAAAAATTACTAGTACAATGAACACAATGATTGAAAGACATAAACATGGGGAATGCCCGTTACTCAATTTGTTTGCACACACCGTTGCAGTTATGAGACTATATCTTTCAAAAAATAATGATTCAATGCTTAAATAACCAATTTGAAATCATTTTCCCCTTATAAATGATGGAGAAAAAAACATAAAAATTGGTCCCGTGACAACTAATAAAGGGGAACAAAAAATTGTACTAGAAATTATGGGTCTAGAAAATTAAATATTTTGCAAAGAAATGAAATGACATGATTAATATTACAAAATGCTGTAAAGACGATTTTACAATGATATGTTGACTATATTAAAAAAATTACAAAAGAAATTACATATAAAATACCCGAGACTGTCTGATTCAAAAATACAAATCGTTCCTTGGATTTCCCTGACTATGATGTTCATCTAGTATTCTGCTCTTTTCTATAGATGACGAAAACATACAAAAACATTTATACCAAAGAAAATCTGCCAGTAATATCATATTAGGAGTAACTGTTTTGCATCACACGACACTAACATAAACTGAATTTTTTTTCTCAATTTATGGAAAGAAATGTGTACTTATTCATATATTTCCACCTTACTTCGGCCCATTTTGATTCAAAAACTAATTATTACCAGAGATATAAATACATTTGTATCCAAAATCTGATGGCCGTCACCTGTCGACTAGTTGAGGTAGAGTCATCGTCACAAACCACGGCCAAAAAGAGCTCTATGCGGACTCCGGACAGCGGATTGAGACGATGAGGTATAGCGGTCTGAGACAACTAGATATCTAGCGGCTAGGATAGCGGCTTCGATTTTTAACGCAGTTCTGAGGCTCGCAAACCGCTGACTTTCTCCTCTTCTTTACATCCTTTAGCACCTTCTTTTTGTAGGGAAGAATGATATCGCTGTCCCCGAGGTGGAATGTTCTGTGAGGAACCTTCAAATCAATGTCGGTCACAAGAAGAATTCTCTTTTTTCTCAGTTTATAATGATTGTTACAGCTGCAAGGTAGATCGATTTTGATGATTTTTCTCTTAGACAATGCATCTGTGGCGTTGTAGAAGTTCTGTTTTGCTGTCCCCGTTAATATCATCCTCGGTGATAATTCTTTGGTCGAGTTGAAACATTTGATATGATGGACTTTGATTACGTAACCTGAATAAAGACAGAAAAGATTTACAACACTGCTCTATTAAATCTATTAAACTTAGCAAACCAGACGCTCAATACTTTGCCGGCCTCGCAAGAAAAGCACAGGCCAGGGGCTCTGTGAATTTTTTCCTTCGGATGAGAGGTGTCCACACGGCCAAGACCTCCCTCCTCCCCAACATCCCCCCAAAAATATTAATATTTTAAAATTTTTGATTGACAAGAACAAAAAAAAAAAAAGCAAACATAGTGTCCTAGCATAATAAACCTAATTCGTGAGGGTAAATTTCTTTTCTCTCTATCGTGATCGGGAGGCCCGGGTTCGATTCTCGTACGCTGCGCCGCGTCAAACCTAAGACGTAAACATAGGTAGTGACTAGTGACTGCTCCTTTGCCAAGCGCCCGACACTACAAGTGAAAGTCACGGGTCTTTCGGATGAGACCTTAATAATCGAGGTCCCGTGTCACGGTAGGTGTTGACACGATAAAGAACCCTCAATGCTCAATGGCCTTAAGTGTCGAGTATAGGTCTAAATTTGAAGCCCTTCACTGGCATACGGTGACTTCTCTATATGAGTGAAAAAATCTGGAATGGGACGTTGAACAACATACAAACAATCAATCAATCAATCTTTTCTCTCTCTCTCTCTCTCTCTCTCTCTCTCTATATATATATATGATTCTTGCTGTCAATGTAAAAGAGGACTTGTTACTTGATTGGTGTCCAAAGTCATTATTCCCTTCCAATCCCGGCTGGATCTGCGTGAGATCATTTCTTTGTACAGCTAGGATCTCTCCTTAACATTTTTTCAACGAATAATATAAAGCTAGTTAGAATAAAGATGCACACTTTACAGGCACGTAGTATCGTTTCTGAAAATGGGCAGCCAGAGAGAGAAAAAAAATCAACTTGTCTGGAAAAAAACCATGGCAAGCAAAGAAAAAAAATTGTAGGCTCCAACTTTTCTTTCATAACCAAATTCAGTTCATACATTACCATACTAGTATTACCCTGATTTGACTATACTGCAACAAAAATTAAGTGGGCGGCAACCAACCTTTCAATCAACATTTTCAATAGTAAATAGTAATGTTTGGAAAAAAGTGCCCCCCTCCCCCCGATACTACGTGCCTGCCTTATGTTTCTCACCATTTCTCCTACAAATATCTAGACTTCCGATGTTCACAGATTTTCTCATATTCCAAGTAGTCCACTTTTGAGAGATAATACTACAAATGCTACTTTGTGTGGAGGAGCTGGGGGTGTCCGACTGCTCACTGCAACTAAAATTAAATTCACAGTAAATTTATGACCAGAACGATGAAATTAAAATTAGATGTTGATCTCACGAATCATGCTACTGTTATAAAAAAATGAATTACATGATTACTGACAGTATCTATCAAAACCCCAAAGAGTGCCAGGATAAATGAAAGAAAAGGGATGGGGTGGGGGGAGGGGAGGTGAGGGGAGCTAGTTACCTCTCGGCAATACTTTTCACCAAACCATGACAACATTTCTCATTTCTTGGATCATAATCCTTTTTTCCAGGGTGACAGCATTCTCTTCCAGTTTCCTTGGCGCCCTTGTGGACCTGATTATTGCAGCAAAGATCTGTCTGACTGTTATACCGCTGGTACCCACAAAATATTGATGGTCTCCTTGGCTGGTGTTTGCACGAGTAGAACTCTGAATTCCGAAGACAGCATTGATCGTGGTCAGAGGCATTTTTCTTTATTATTTGGTCACCACTGCAGCATAGGTGTGACGCTGTCGAATATACGTCTTTACCACAACATTTAGGGTCGCTCACGTGTTTTATGTTATGCACTATACCTGAAATAAAGCATCCATTTTTATACATGGGAGATAATAATCAAACTATATTGACTCCGTTTTTGATAACTTTAAAGAAATATAATGGGCAATATATATACATGTATCTATTAGAAAACGTACCATGACAGCATGTCTGGTGTCTTTTGTCAAATGAACCGTTCCCACAACATTGAATTGTTCCATTTGATGAGTCGTATACGTTGTTATGACAGCAGATTTCATTGGATGAATTGTAAAGACCTGCAAGAAATTAACGGGCTCTCTCATATACAAAGTGGTGAAAATCTAACTTTTCTGTATGAAAAAACGAAACTCTGCATGTGTCATAGATATTTCTACGATAATAAACATTTCGTATAACCTGCGGAGAAGCATTAAACGATTAAATAATTCATCGTACATTTACCTGTTTACATATTCATGATCGCTTATCGATCGCTTTATCTTAAAAACTCACCTGTCCCACAACAGTGCCCTGTTGTGGGCTGGACTTTGGTTATATCCGCCCTTTCACAGCACTGTTCGCGCCTGTTATCAAACAAAGACTCCCCGCAGCAGCGGATATGTTTGTCAAAAGAGGATTTGTTGTAGAGTTTGGATTCGTCGCAGCATATCTGTTTCCGTTTATCGTATAGTATTCCATTGCAAAAGTCATGGAACCGTGGAACAATTTGTTTTTTTTCGCAAGCTGATATAGTCTTGTTGAAAGGAGTTGTTTCATTACAGCAACCATTTTTTGTCGATATTAACTGATTTCCACAGCATTGGGTGTTCCTTTCTGAAGAAGAAAATATTTTGAAACACCTTCTTATTACATGTAATAATTATGAATGAATTATGGACAAAATGTTAATACATTTGCACTGAATAGATTTGAGATACAAACACTGATACATATAAATACAGATAGAGATGTAATATTACTGTAAAATTGAGAGATCAATAATTCTCAATAAATCATGAAATTGTTACGAAAGACCCCTTTTGTGTCATTCCGTTACAAAATTAGCAACTGTTTTGATTCAAAAAATGTTCTTATTATAAATTATAAAATGTAATCACAAAAGACATACATTCAGCAGATATACATATTACAGAACAGACAAAGCAATATGACCATCTAAATAATATGTGTCTTTTTTCATGTAATTGATTATGATGAATAGTGTCTCTGCACGTTTCAAAACTATGCGTCCTAAAAGAGGACAGACACTCATAGGCGAACATCGAAAAAAGAAGATTTAATTCTTTTCTGTTTGAAAAGTCTTGATGGACAGAAGGTTAATGTGATTACTGTATACTCCCGCATATTTCAGCAAGGTAGCGATAATTAAAAGATCACACTTGAAGTACAAAAATCAGTGCATTTTTTTATATTTACAATGATAAAGGAATTATTTTTGTCTATTGTAATTACAAAAGCCACGAGGGATCCCCCGTCATGCATGTTCTATAGATTTCGTAGTTTTTAATCATATGCGATCTCCGTAAACAACACTCGATATTGCTGACAGTTTTAGTTCTTTTGGAAAATCGTTTGTTAGGTCCCGTGAGTCACAGCTTCTTCTCTGAAACCACTGAAACGATTTTGGCACAGAATATCTTTGAGTAAAGGGGAACAAAAATTGTGAATTTCATAATCCCTGTCCTCCCGAAGCCTTAAGGGTTGGACTAAAACCATCAAAATTAGAGCTATCTATAAAAATCTTCTTTTTTACTCTTGGACATCAAACAAACTGTTGGCATGATTGTATATAGCCTTCTATCAATTTTTTGAAATTCATGGCCCATGCAATTGGTCATGGTGTTCTGGAGTAAGGGTGGGGCTCTAATGATTGTACAGTGAAAATGCAAACATTTTTTTTAAAATCTTCTTCTGTCCCCAGTATATAAGTAAGATAAACTAGATGCATGGTTATGATGATCATGGGTGCATCTTCGGAAACTGTGAAATTTGTGACCCCCTGATGAGGGGTTATGCGGGGGGCTCTATTGATTATTTAGTGAATATGCATTTATTCTTTTAAAATCTTCTTTTCTGATCCTGTGAACTAAGCAATCAACTCATAAGCAAGGTGCCTCTTCCAAAATTGTGAATTTAATGGTCCCTGGGTCAGGGGTTCTGCTGAAGGGTGGGGCTGTATTGATTATAAAATGAAAATGCATTATTTCTTTAAAAATCTTCTTTTCTGCACTTGTGTATTAAGCAAACAAACCAAAAATAAAGTTATGATGAGCAAGGGGGCCTCTTCCAAAATTGTGAATTTCATGGTCCCTGGGTCATGGGTATTGATGTTAGGGTGTGACTCTATTAACGATATAATAAAAATGCATTTATTCTTTCAAAATTTTATTCTCTGATCCTAGGAATTTATCAGATAAACTTAGAACATTGTAATGCTGATCAAGAGTGCCTCTTCTAGAATTGTGAAATTCGTGGCCCCAGGGTCAGGAGTTCAGGTTGGGGTCTGTTGAATATATTGTGAAAATGCATTTATTTATTTCTTTCAAAATCTTCTTGACTGTTCCCGGGTAATTTGCTTATAAATTAAGCGGGCCCAGACTTGTCGAAATCCGTCGGTCCTGTCGGCAAGGCCGATAAAAATTTGTCTGGACCGACAACTTTTGAGAAAACGTCGGTCCAGATGACCGTTTGAAAAAAATCGAGCGTGATGCAAATTTAATAAAGGTCGGGATCGGGATGCGCAGCTGAAGGTCACAAACACAGTAGACTGGTATTGCCTGTCTCTATCGTTCGAAATCGCGCATATCAGACAGGCAAGCCAGTCTACAAACACAGAAAACATGGCCGCGTACGCGGCGTGTTGACGATAGCCAATTGAATTTGTTATAGCAAAGTCATAAAACATGTCATTTATGTCTTTTATTAAAGACTTTCTATCCCAAGGAAGGAAACTTGTAAGATTAAAGGCTGCTAAAAATAATCCAGGGCATTTTGGTGCTGTTATTCATATGACTTTCACAGCGTCAAAATAAGGTACATGTATCTGGTCTGACAAAACGTTGACTGGTCCGACAGAACATTTGACTTTGTCAGACCAAATGTCTGACAATGATTTTAAAATTTCGACAAGTCTGTAAGCGCAAAGTTATGGTCATCCTCTTCTCTTGTAATTGGGCAACAAAGCTTCACCAATCAGTTTATTTTATACTTCTATGGATACTTTAAATTATTGTATTATGTTCAGGTGACCTTTAAGGCCCTCGGGCCTCTTGTTTATATATATTTAACGTACTGTCCTATAAAAATTGGGTCAGTAAAATGAAATACACGCAAGCAATACGATAAATGCACTTATAAATTGCAAAGAATATACATTTTTGAAATTGTATCCCACACAAGACTCCATTTGACAATAGGGTATGGCTTGGGTAATGACTTGCATGATAGGGATGGCAAAGGTGAAAAAAATAAAAAGGTGTATCAAACGGAAACAAACTTACCGATTGTATTTACTGAGTAGGTCTTGTTTCCACAACACTTTTGTTCCAGTCCTGCGTTTTCCCCCGTCTGAATGTATCTATTAGTGACATAACCGGAAGCACAACAGATCTGGTCCGATTTTCTGTACAAGTTCACACCTAAATTATTGGGAGATCGAAAATATATTTATTTTACTTATATTTCATATTTAAGAGTATCTCAGTACTTGGGTAAGCATACGGAAGAATTACACGACTGGGAATTCAATACAACTTTAATTATTGTGTGGGATTTGTCCTTTTTCCAAATAAAGATACATTTTTAAAAATTCAGAACATTTTGAACATCGATTTGATTTAAACGCCAAATATTTATACCTGTGTCATTAGAGCTAATATCAACATTTTATTTTTCTTTTTAATCATAATTTCCAAAGGCGATCCTCCGTCTCACCAATTCCTTACCCCCACAGCAGTCTCTCTCCCCTTTGTCGTCGTACCGTTCTCGGACAAAATCCCCACAGCAAACCTGTGTACGAGGGTCATACTCTAACATATCTATTTTGCCATTTGATAAGGCCACTGGACATCGGCTCGTCCACACTGAAATTTAATTGAATTTGATGTCATTGAATCAAATTATGCCATCTGACAAACTTAATTGCACATTTATACATGGTCAAAGGAACCGTGCCCCCCGATATATATATATATATATATATATATATATATATATATATATATATATATATATATATATATATATATATATATATATATATATATATATATATCGTATACTATATAAGAATACATATAGCTACTTTATGCTTGATCAATAATTGATGACCCCCCCCCCCGCCCTCCCTTTTTCTTTTTTTTTCTTGTTTGGTATTATCCCACCCAACAAGGAACTGAAAATGTCTGCAACCCCCCCCCCCCCCCATCGTCGGAACCCACGGGTTTTCTCTCCGTTACACTACATTCTCTTCAGCTTTTGAATGTAGTGTAACGGAGAGAAAACCTACATGCCTGCATCAATTTCGTTTTTTTTCTGAGGTAGACATGGTATAGAGCAAGAACAAAACTCAATCGAATAACCTATAGCTATATAATGTGGTTTTCTTTATTGTATGCGCTTTCCTAGTACCTGTATCTTTAAAATATTTATTTTTATATTGATGCAACACAAACAAAACGAATATGCAAAGACTTGAAAAAAAAAGTTAGGAAAACATACCTATATTGATGCACCCCAAAAAGCATAGCACACGGGATATGTACATGACTGCACTAGGCAATATTACAAAATATTAAGAACTATGTTAACAACGGTAATTTATTTGTATTCTTAACTAAATTTAGATCAGGGAAAATTATTTTTATTGTTCCAAATTCCTTGAAGGTGTGTATTTATTATTAAATCTTCAAAAGGTACAATATGTAGCAAACACATTCAAAGTTGTTGACATCATGTGTTGTTCTATTTTTAGAATCAAATCCATGGTTTTCCCCTTTCTAAAATAATCTGGTAAAAAACCGTAAACACACGTGGATTTTTTTTCCCCCAATGTACTACGTAAACGAAACAAGTGACCGTGTCCAAGAGCCATGCATTTCATAATTTTGGAAAAGCACGCTTGCTTACAACGTGCCAAATATACAATAGGAAATTTTTATATGTGAAGTTCATCCAAACATAAACTGTATAATTTTTGAAAGAGGGTTCAATCAATGCTATTATAATCATAGAAACGTTCGACTCGATGTCCTTAGTTGAAATTTTTCAAGATAGACTTTAATTAAGCTTTTGGCCCCAACCAAGATCCCAAGGAGGGGACCATGAAATTCACAATTTGTTTTCCCCTTTGCCCATAGATGCTATGTTTGCAAAATTGGTTGAAATTGACTGACCCATTCCAAAGAGGTTAAAAATTCTCAAGTTAATGGATGACTAAGTTAAAATGTATGAAAACAGTGATGGATAGACTCGACACCATGAAAACAGAGTGACTTGGGTGACCTAATGAAAACTACGAGTTCAACCCCCCCCCCCCCCCAAAAGTAACCAAAATCAAAAAAAAACAAACCAAAAACTAAACTTATGTACCAATCATTTTAATGACATTTCTTTAAAAACAATTCTTTCTGAAACATCCCTAGTACATAACATTGTCATCAACAAATGAGTGAGAGAAGAGATAGAGAAGAAAGTGTGAGAATAGAAGTTCATAATTCATTTAGAATGAAAGTCTAAAACTGAAACAAAAACTTAATGTTTAAATAATAGTAGAAATACAAGCACATTTGATGTATAAGTAACATGAAACCAAATTAAAAAAAAATCAAAATTATGCTCATTTTCAAAAATGACTAAAGGAACTTTCACATAACATTCAAATCTAGCACTTTCATCATCATTTTTGAATCCTTCATTCACACAGTTAAGCTAAATGTAAATGAAACTTATTAATAACATGATTGCACAAGAATATCTAGAGATCCATTTGTGAGCAGCACTGATTAATATGTAACTTCCCCTACCCGTTTTATTGGGGGTAAGGGGATTCCCTTATTCCTTTAGTCTCAGTTTGAGTATATCACAATAAAACATCACATGTTCAGCTTAGAAAGAGAAGCCTTGCTGAGGAATGGTGGCAGCAGCATTGAATTGGTAAGCACCGCCCTCTGAGGTTGTGGGGGCCAAATTCTCATCTTCTTCCTATAATAAAAAAAAAAAAAAAAAAAAAAATTTCAGAACCTTCAAATATTTCAAATAGTTGAAAAAGTTGTCCTATGAAGTGCACAGTAAGACACCCTAATAGGACAAGCAGAGTACTTATCAACTTTGGTAGAAAATTCAAATCCATGTTTTGATACTTAAAGCTGAACACGATTCGTAAAAGGAACTTGTCCACCATATTCGATAGGTCTCTCGCTATATCTGAGGGCCCCTATATAAAGTCACTGTTCAGTGTATTCAATCGTCACCGGTGTAGACGGATGTATACTTTACAGCACTCGGTAGGGACAATAAATAACTGTACTTCTTCTAATGCAGGAGAGTAAGATACCAAAGAAACTTACAACAGTTGCACAGGTCAGTGCAGTATACAAAGAAACACAAATACACGTAGCTGCAATAAAATGTAAACAAAGGTAATGCAAGATACCCAGCACAAACATGGGTTGCTATTCCACACTGATACCGGTAAAAATAAAGCAGTCAGGTGTAACAAATGCCAAGAGTATATCGTAAATAGTATTATCGAAAATGGCATATGCCTATTTACAAGTCGTGCTCAACTTTGAAGAGAAATTGGTCTCAAATTTATTGAGAAACAGATTTTTACACTCTGACCCCCCCCCCCCTTTTCTTCATCGAAAAATGTTATGAAATAGTCCAAGACATTAAACTTCAATTGGGCTGAAGTCAGGGGACATACATAAATAAGTACAGATAAACAGTTACCTCTCCAGAGAACCACTTCTCGATGAGTTCCAGTGCTGCCTTGTAAACATGCTCATTCTCGTGGTTCTGAAGGTTTTCTATCTTATCTAGGCCTCCTGATTCCTCCACCATCACACACACAACATCTTGCTGGTTCAACTTCTCAGCAGCCTGTAAAAGTCAGACATCACCTCAGAGCTTAACAAGTAATGTAACTGTTTCTTAAATGCTACAATGACAAAACTTTTTTCCACATATAAATAAATCTAGAATACATTATACAGATTTGAGAAAAAAAATGTGAATGATCCAAGTCATATTTATCATCATAAAGAAAATGACTCTCTAAGAAAAACTGCCGACTCATTGGTTAGAATATGCACTTGACAAAAACTCTGATCCACCTCAGTAGATTCTTACCATCAGTATATTTGAGAGGGCATCCAGAATGACAAGTATGACCTTGGCCTCCTTTACTGTGAGAAGGTCACACAAAGGTTTAATGGCTCCCAGCTGTACTAAGTAGGCTATCTGTTCTACCGTACCACCTGATGTCAGATTTGTCACCGCCCAAACAGCCTCCTTCTGGCTTTTATAGTCTCCCTTTAAAAAATAATTTATAAAATAATCTTTTCTCAGTGGGAAAAAATGCTCCAATTTAGACGAGGATTAAGAGACTTGTTTCCTTTTGGAAAAGCAGGAACATACATTACAGTTGATTTTATTAATTACTTGGGAATCTTTTTTGAGCTGAGTTTTCTTTTATTCAATATCTCCTTGATTACCTTGCTGAGTATTTCGAGGAGTGGGGGCAACAGCTGATGGTCTATGACTTGCTGAATCTGCTGTGTGTTTCCTGCTGTAATATTAGAAATAGTCCAGGCTGCCTCTTTTTGGATGTTGATTTTATGGTGTTTTAGGAGGTTGTGGAATGCAGGGAGAGCACCGTGGTCCAGAATGCACTGCGTCTGGGTGTCGTCTCCGGTGACGATGTTTCCTATGGCCCTCAGGGCTGGCGTTATCACAGATACCTCATTGCTGTTTAAGAGTTCTACCAGTCTTGTTACAACATCTGCATAGAAAAGATTTTTTTTTACTTAATGTACAAATACTACACTAAAAACACACATACCCCTTATAGTTTTTGATTTTCTAATATTTCCTAACATGCTTATCAAAAGATTTTAATCCATCACTTTGTATTAGTACGGTACAGAGAGAATAAAAGAAGCAAACACTTTTAGTTTTTTACCATAAATACATGTACTTACTACTATCTATAACTTCCTGTATTTTGTCGTTTGTTCCATCTGTAAGATAAGACAGTGCCCAGCAGGTGTCTGTCAGGACCTCTCTGTCACTGTGATGAAGTAATCTTGCCAATGTTGGCAGAAACTGGCGTACCACCTTAAACTTGGGAGGTGGGTTTTTGTTTCGGCATAGGTTGGACAAGGTCCATGTGATATTTCTCAAAAATCCAGCCTAAAATGGTAAAGATTTTGTCTACAACTTTTATGACAAAAATTTACTGTGAAAAAAAAAATTCAAAAAAAATCAGCACTTTACTCATGGTATGCTTGTGATTCCATGGAATTATGATCCCATGGAAGAAAATATGCTTACAGATCTTAAAATTTCAAGAAGGCCAAAAATTTTTTAGTTTCTCAGGCACCGCCGCATCAGGACAAACGCTGTGACATTGATAAATTTTATCAACCTACTGAGAATGGGAATAATTTTCTTTTTCCAAGTTGATAAAGAAAATCGAGTTATGTCCCCTTGCATACATGCTTATACCACCTGCCTGCCGCATTGAATTTTGAAGTTTTGGCCTGAGAAACTAGAGTATTTAGGGGAGGGGGTGGGGGCTTAATTGATTTGTCCTTTTTAACAATGGTGTTCATGGAAGATATTTTTATCATAAAATATTACTCCACCAAATTGAAAATTGAGTCAAATTGAGAAAAGAAGACATAATGCTGATACTTGATATACAATACATTGCTAAACTCAACAACCATGACTAAATTTGGCCTGATGCGTAAGTGGAAGTAAAAACTGACATCATACATTATGTGTCAAATGGATAAACAGTATTTTTGTAAGACTTACAGGTGTGTCTGTTTCTATCAGTCTTAACAATGGCTCAACAATACCAGATTCGGTAACAAAGTCTCGCAGGTCAGGACCATCACCTGCAAAAAGATAACATCTGTCACCAGTGCAATCAAAACTAGCAAGCAAATCACACCTTCAATGTACATTATATGGCTGATCCATAAGTTTTATCACAAGATTTGGACAGGGTTCTCTTTTGCCCACAAGTCTCCAACTTTTTGTCTATAGCTACTCAAAAATCTAACCAATATGTAATCATCCTATAAAACAACTCCAAAACTGGATAAATTTGGCAAATAATTTGACAAAGTACTTACCTGCAATGTTTCCCAGAGCCCAGACGGCCTGTTCACACACATTGTGGTGGGGTGAGGAGAGGAGTTTGACAAAGTTTGGTACTGCTCCAGCCTTCACCACACACTTAGTCTGGTCACTGGTCCCTGAGGCAATGTTCGTCAGGGCCCAGGCAGCCTCAAACTGTAGTTCTGGTCTAAAATAAATCCATCAAAGTGTACAGTATAAATCTATAATTTCACGTATTAAAAATATATATTTACAAAGTATATTTACAAAGTCTTGTCTGGGATGGAAAATAAGACTGTACTTTGGAATGTATAAAAGCTCATGGATACAGTGCAAAGTTTCAATTTTCAAACTAAGTGTAATTAAACTTCATTATCTGAAACTTGATGGAAAATCTGAGAGGCAAAAAATTGGAGGTTAAAAGAAAATGTGACCAAAAATAAAAAATTCTGGGACATCCAACTCACTGTCACATATATCCAAGGTATTCAAGCTATATTGATGTTCAAGATACAAAATTTTAACTACATTTGAGTCAATTTTATTTTCAATATTACCTATCATTATGACCTAGAAATTGCACCATTTTGGGTATAACTCCAGCCTTAATTATGTCATCAATAGGTGGGTTTCGTTCTTTAGAGAGAAGTTTTCTGGCTGCCTGTGTACACTGCATCTGGGTTTGAGGCGAGTTGCTGTTTATCCCAGCTATTATCTCCACAAGTGTCAAGCCAGGACCCTGTGAATGTTAATAGAAATCATAACATTGTTCTGTGGATGTCAATTTAAGTTCATATTGCACTTAAACAGTGCAGATGCAGTGCCGCAAAAATCAAATGAGAAAATCCTAATTTTAATCAGTTTAATCAAATTTTGGATTCATCATTATTTAATGAGCAGAGCCGCTCATTAACTATTCTGTAAAAAAAGGTCAACAATGCAACAATTAAAGGTACATTATTATTGTACAACATTAAATTTTATCAATTACAGTATTCTTATTACCTTATTGGAGTTATCTTTTAAAGGACTAGTTGCATCATCTTCGTCCTCAAGAGCTACATTTCTTCTTTTTAGCAATTGATCATCTTTCTTTTGTTTTCTAAGTTCAACCGAAACATCTGTTCGACGTCTCCTCATTTCCTAGAAATTAAGGATTTACTAAGTCATTAATATTTTTGTATTCACTTCTTTATGTCATGACATACACATTTTTTTTCTACACCTCTTTACATAATCTGTTTGTGCAAGCTATCACTTGAATGGACTCGGGGAACATTATGATTTTTATCATATATGCTTCCTTCCAATTTACTCATTCTTCTATGGGTGCTCACTTTAAGTCTTAGCAAAAGAAAAGTCTATTCAGAGATTATAATCAGGCCCCGCACAATCTCTTGATTTAGCTATTCAAAATAGCTAGATTTAGCTATATATCTTTATTAAGCTATCTAGAATTAGCTCTATTTAGCTATTGTAGCCTCACACTTTTTTTCTTAAATGTGCAGTTTTCTCAACATGTAGATAATGTCTTAGATATAATATAAATATGAAGCACAAGTCGAGGACAGACTTTCAACATTTTTGAGAAAAGATTATTATTTCAATATTTTACAGGACAGATTATTTATATATTTCCAAAATCTCCAACCCAATCCTCCCTCAGAATCAAATGATCTTCCCCTCATGTGAAAGGTATACTGTAGTTTTAAATTTAAAGGCGATCTGTAGGTACCTGATAAAAATTTGCTTTTGCTATAGCTCACTGGACTCCAAAAAAAAAAAAAAGAAAGAAATGAACAATTAGAGATGTCATCCATCCCATTTTATTATAACCAGTGAGCTACAGATCTGCAACTAATGATAATTTTAAAAATTTGATGTCCTAATTATTATTGCCTTGAACCAAATTAACTCCATCATTTAAATACTTACATCAGCATCCCTGCCTTTGTTTTTGTAAGTTTTTAGTCTGTTTTCGCTGGCCGGCATTTTTTTCTTTTTATGAGGTAAACGAAGGATATGAAACTGCTGAAAAGATATTTAAACAAATATATTTAACATAAGACCCCTACATATATCTAAAGGCTAAAAAACTTTTGGGCATATTGGCTGAAAAACAATTTTAAAATTTTGAACAACACTTTTCTTACGAAATAAACTTTTTTTTAATTTGACATTTCCTTCCTTTCTCTCGGATGAAGTATTTGATATGAATTTCAGCGACTATGCTTACCGTAATGCGTCGAAAGACTTTCAGTGGTCAATATACAACTTCTCTCTTCGAAAGCTTGTCAAAAAATAAATCTTCGAAATTGCCGGTGATTGTCACGTGAAATATTTTTGATTGGCTGTTCTTCTCAAAACCTAAAATGTGATTGGATGAATCTATGGCAACAACTCTTTATAGACTTCGGGAAATTCCGTATTTGTATTTCACGGAAACACGCGATGCACACGAGTAAGCGAAATGTAATTTTCTGTGATACCTCTGAGTAACTGCGTGTTTCGAATATTTTTTTTATTTGTGCAGTTATGGATCTGTCAGAATAACAAGGCACATGTTGGATGATTCAGTGACTTCATTCACCCGAATGTGACTTCATTGTTTACGAAGTGGCGGAAATACACGAATTTTAACGAAAGGTCCTTATTTCGGTGTCCATTTAATTCGCATCTTATCAATTATGCATGAGGAACAAGTTTTTCTATATCTGTGGGAAATTGATTAATTGTATCCGAAATTCGTTAAGGTTATAAAAATTGACGTCTATCAAATCCAAATAAAACTTTTCGTTTTATGTCATGTGAATCATAAAAATATAAATTCATGTTGTGTTCGAATTATTTTATATTTGAACGAATCCATCTCGCACCTGTACATGCGCATAAAGCATAACCATAATAAACAAAGATGTCAGCCGACGAAGATACTGAATTGAGAGATCTTGTTGCCCAAACCTTAGAAGCAAATGGTGTATTGGGGAAAATTAGGGTAAATATAACATTAAGAGCTGTCAAACAATGTCATATGAAAATGCATGTCTGATAGTAGTTTTAGTGAAAACTATGAATTAATCAAGATGAGGTGCTCTGAATTTTAAATCCAGGCATGCATGGACAAGAAAGCATGTGTGGAAATTATGTAGAATCTCACAATTCTTTTATTTTAATATATATATAATAAAATAAGAAAAAAAAAGCGCGTAGGGTAATAGCTATTTAAAAGATGATAAAATATCTGGATTTTCAAAAAGGTTGCATGAGTGTTTAAGTTTTATTAAAAAAAAGGAGGGGGGGGGGGGGGTAATAGAACAATTGCAAGTAGAAAAACTCATTCAACTCAAAACAATTGGCAAAGCAATAGAATAAGTCACATTATTTTAAGATTTTCAATGTGTAAAACTGGACAAGAGGATGCAATAAGTAAGCTAGAGTAGTCTTCTATTTTTGTCTTGTACGTCTTGCCCTAGGATGGGACTACTAGAAACTTTTTTAAAACACTCTGAATTTCTGATCACAGCACACCCAAATGTTTGGTAGCATAAAGAAAAGAAACTTTTTTTATCTTTCAAACTGTGGTTTGACCAGCAAAGGGACACAACTCTGTTTTCTTTTTGTGAAATGGGGATTGAATCATTGAAGGAAAATCTTATTGAAGGGCAGTTATAAAAACTATATGAAAGCAAAACAAGTTTTAATGATACAGCTTCAGTCACTTTATCAGTGTAACCATGTATATGAAATTGCACATGTGTTCTAAGATAAATATTTTTTTTTTAATCAGAATAGATCTACAGATCTATGGATCAAAACTTTATGTCTAAGTTTAATATTTTTTTTAATTTTACAGGCACAGCTTCGAGCCAGTGTTTTCCTTGCTTTGGAGGAACAGGAACAAAATCAGGTTGGTAACAAATGAAGTCTTATTTTGCTTTCATAAAATTATACCAGAGTAGTATGCCTTTTACTACTAAATACATGTATGTCAGAATTAGTTTTATGGAGTAAAAGTGCAGATGTTTAAAACCTTTTTTTTTGTTATTCATACAGGACAAACCATTTGCTAATCCTGCATTAAGACAGTATTTAAGTACAAAAGAAGGTAAAATACTTCTTATAATTAATATCATATGTTATACTTGTACAACTGACAATATTTCTTTTTAAATACCAGTGATAGATTAATGAAATATTACTTCAAGAGATATTTTAGCCTATGACATATACAGTTTATGTTATTGCTATATGTTTATTTTTGTAAGGTCAAGCAGTTGCTGGACTGGTCAGAGAGTTCCTGGATTTCTTTCAGCTGGACTACACCTTAGCTGTTTTTGAACCAGAAGCTGGTTTGGTGAGTATCGAAAATGAAAACATTGACTTGCCAATCTGGCTAAAGCTCTGCTAAATTAATGTGATGATATACATAAAAAGTACACATTTAGGTGTTTGACTGTGACTATCACAGTTTCTTGAATATATGTACATGTAACTGATTTCTTTGAAGATTCAACAGGGTCCTAATAATGGAGGCAGACAGCAGCTAGCAAAGGAATTAAATATTTTAGAGTCAGATGGTCCCCCTAAAGGGCCCCTTCTTGGTGTTCTAGTGTCTGGGAATAAACAAACTGCACCTCTAACAAAAGTCTCTGATGTAAGTTCCTTAGTTTGAATAGATACTACTGATATTTTTATTAAATTAAAGAAAACTACATGTCCAATCTGATCTCTGCTTGTTTTTTATTGATGCTAAAAGCCTACTTTAATTTTTTTTTTTTTAAGGAGCTAACACCTGCCCAAATTGCAGAGGCAAAGCAAAAGTTCAATTATTATGATAAGGTAAATGTATGGACAATGTTTGCTTTGTACATGTTGTACAATTCAAACTGTAGACCCTCCAAATCTAGTTGGTGTCAACTTTGATTCATTTCAATTTCTCTTCAATGTGTGAAATTTCAATATTACATTTAAAAAGATGTAATGGTAAGGCCACATAAAATATATTGTCATTTTAAGATTAAAGAGTGACAATGTATTGTGAACATCAGTGTATAAGTTGAATACTTTTCTGTTAAAAATTAAGAGTTTTGTTAGAAAATTATGTATGACCTGGATTTGCTGCTTATTTATTTACCATATGTCTTTTTAGAATCACAGTGGGGATATAGATAAAAACGAATTACGGGAACTTTTTATTGATATCTGTCCTGGATTTAATAGGTAAGTGTGTCAAATAATGACTGTGAGGAATAGTGTTTTAAAGATTTTATGATATGTTCTTTTTTTGGAGCTTGAAACAAATCATCTCTATGACACCAAAGATGAATTTCTCCAGAAAATAATAGAAAATAATATTTAACAGGACTGATAAAGATTTAATACACCTTTAAGTTTAGTAAAATGCATGCAGTCATTTACTGTAAATTGTGTGATAAAAATGTTATATAAATAACTTTCCCTCTCTAAAATTCCAAGCATTTATCTCAGTGAAAAGGGGGGATAATGGTACATAATATTCATATACATGTACATAACAGTGTGGACAATTTTTTATACTAGCTTATGATTTTCCTCCTAGAAATATGATAGAGAGATATGTGAATGAGGAATTTAAGGCAGCAGACACAGACTTTAGCAGCTGTAAGTACCCCCCCCCCCCTCCCCCGGAAAAAAAAAACTTGAACATTCATGTAGTGCTGTAAAAAATCTCTTTAAATAAATAAAAGTACAATTTTATTGCATAATTTTCCTACAGCCAAATTGGGTGCCTCACGTAAGTAAACTGCTATTGCCAGAGTCTTAGATATACATGTAGTAGTATTTGTAATGTAACTGGAGAAAAAACTGATGGTAAAATCCACATTCTATGCCTGTTTTGTTTATACTGAAAGCAATATATATTATGAAATGACATGAACCCTAGCTGTTAGCTAGTACTGCTTGGAATGATGTTCACATGTAGAAATATTTCCTCATATTGTACTGTTGTAGATGTATGTAGATGCATGTAAAATCAATTTAAGATGGATGTTAAAATAGTTAATGTGAAATTGTTTAAAATGATTTATAGCATCCCAAAGCTATTTTTATAGTGCATAGATATGGTTCAAGGTTTAAGATCTAGATTACCATTTTGTTGCTTAAGACCAAATTTTTAAGTCTGCTGAATATGTCTTCTCTTGTGCATTTTCTTACTACAGAGTATTAAAAAAAAAAAGTTGTAGGATGTGAAATCCAGCAAATCCATGAACTAGAGAATAGTGTTTTAAATTTTATTTAATACTGGATTAGTGCTTCCTTTTTGGTTTTTTTTTTTTTTTTTTTTTTTGTGAATCAAAGATGGTGAATTTGTTTTGATGCTACCGTGCAAGTTCTGTGTTTATTAAGAGAGAGTACATAAAATGTTTTCAATGACAAATAAAGAGAGGCAACAAATTCCAGGCAGGCAATAATTAGAAGTATTTGATAACTTTGTAACATTTTGTATAATTTTTGGTGTTACAGGTATAAACTTTGAAGAGTTCCTAGGGATGTACAAGAGACTGTTTATACAGTGTAGGACAGTGGTCTCCGGGGAAGTGTCTGGTTTGGTTAATTCTCACAAGGTAAAAAGAACTAAAAAAAATATCAATTTACACATCTTCACAATGTCAAGGATTTGGGACGTTTATGTAGAGGAAGGATACCACAAAACCTTTACATTGTGAAGATGCAAGTGTAATAATGTACTTTGCTCTTGAAACAAATGAAAATGATGAAATGAATTGTTACAAATGTGATTTTCCAGCTAAAAATATACACTGTAATTTTTTTTTTACAAAGTATGTAAGAATTGATATGATTTTATATTTGAATAATAATGCAAATCTTCACTTTGATCTATTTTTAAAAATAAAGTTTAAACTTCTATTTGAAATTAAAAAAATTATGCCTTATAATCTTCATTTCTGATAAATTTCTTAACAATGTAATTCACTCTTCGATTTTTTTCCCCCTTATTCATATGCAGATTTACATCTAATTCTCTTCCAGGCAAATGAGAGGAAGGAGTTTGTGGAAGCTAAGAATCAACGAAACCTCCAATCCAGTTTGAATGATCAAAGGAAGAAACCAAACGCAGAGGTGGATCTATTGGGTGGTAGTGATGTGGAGATAGATGATCCATTCTTTGATGACCCTGTCCCCCACAGCCATGGGCTTAAAGGACTGGGAACGTAAGTTATCTCCCTTTGTCTTCAGCTTCATGAACTGCTTTTGAATTAATCTTTTCTTTTAAATAAACTCTTGCAGCAGAATATACTGTATACATCAAAGAATATATTTATGCAGAAAAGTGTAAACACAGCTTTTTCAACTTTCAGTATATTTTAAATTTTTGCACTTGAAAACAGTTAGTAGATGTGATTGTGTATTTGTGATTGTGTATCTTGCACATATTTTTGTTTTAAACAAAGGCATGTATTTCCAATATGAATACTGATGCTGATGTAAAATAACTATAATTTTAAACTGCTTGTACATGTATCATTAATCTGATTTTTTGGATAAAAGAACATATACATGTATTTCTATATTAAGTTTTAAGTTTGATATATAATGGATCGAGTACTCTTCTAAGCTTTATAATCTGCAGCTTGTATCACTTACAAAGTATGTTTTTTTTAATATGCAAAGTAGCAAGTTCCATCTCTCCTTGATTATTTTAACTCATTTATGTATATTCTGTATTTAAAATCTCCATCTGATATTTTTGTAATTATTTAACCCATTTTCTTTAATGTAACCCAATACATGTACAGTATATACTGATTTGATTGGACATTATAAATAGTATGGCTGAGACTACTGTCGACAGTCGCAGAGGCATGGGCTCCAGGCCATCCCAAATTCCAGTGTATTCGCCTCTCCGAAGGTTTGATTTTGTACTGTGGTATGCGTGATTATTAATTCCTTGACTGGCCGAGAAGTTCGGTCAAACTCTGAACTAATCTTTCAATTTTTTTTTCCTCTATGTGTAGCAAAATATTTCTCATTAACTTTCATGCATCAGCACAAGAATCGTCCATAGCTGGCTATTTATAAAGATCATATTTATTAATTGTTGCTGTAAAGTGCACATGTATGTACACTCAAGTGTGTTATAATCAATTATCCTGACTGCATGCACATTTCACGAGACTGTCAAATGCACTGAACGTATGCAGTGCTGTTGACATCAGTGTAGACTGATAATCAACCACAGACATGCACAACACTGTACATACACTAATTCATATAGTCAATGTCAGTAATTGTTACTCAAATAGCAAAATGATATGAGAATTATAAATTCGATTGCTGTAAAATTACAAAAAGTACTGAGAAAAAATCTTCATTGCACCCACTCTGAATATCTTTGTAAAGTAGGGGTAAAGGAGTAAGATTCCTGTGATGTGGGGAGCATTAGAATGTATGGTAATAAAAGGCTGGTGAGGGACAAAGAAGTATGTGTGTAATTTTATCTGAAATGGTGATTTGTTTTAAATATTACCCACATGTATATCAAATACCGTTCTCATTGTTTTTAGGGCTTCAGTTTGAATTTGTAATACATGTACAGCATTTTGATCTCGCTGTCAGAGAATTTCACTGAACTTCATCAGGCACTATTTAACATGTGTGCTTTATAGACAGTTTGTTCCCAGTCAGCATTGTAGCACCAGAGTTACCTCCCTTAGTGTGTGTAAATGTCTTTTTTTTTCTTTCTTGAATTTAGTCCATGTTTGAATACAGTGTATGTAGGTTTGCAGTGGTTTTTGAAGCTGTAATTAGTTTTTTCCCCCTAAACATAAAGATAGCACTTGAAAAAGTTCAGAGTATATCAGTATGGGCAGATGTTTGTTTTCTTGAATTCAAATTCTCAGAGACAAGCATTTTTCAAATCAGACATCTGTTTGGCTCTATGAGGATAATTTATATTGCATGAAAATTAAGTGCATGATTACATATTAAATAGCATGATAGATGATACTGAATCTTAGCATGTTTAAAGTCCACAGAAAAATTGAGATAGAGTGTAGACTATATAGAAAGTAGAAAATCTAAGCTAAGTAAAAAATGTCAACAATTTCTGCTAGTGGTGTATGTTGGTTAAAATGTAAATGTACTGATAGCATTATTGAAAGAAATAAAAAAAAAATTGTGAAGGATTTATTCTGAAGTTTTCTAGTTTTATTTTCCTTTTCATTTTGCTTTTCAAAGGCTTCATTTTTATGAATTATTTTCAGATTTTGTCCAGTATATAAAGTATTATGTTGTGTATTCATATTCATTATCAGATCACTTAAAGTCAAGTGAACTTTTCTGATCAAATAGAGTTTAGTGTCTGTCTTTTGTATTGTGACATCCAGACAAGTTCTATCACTGGTAACTCGCTAAATCACTAAATCACTAACCTGACTAGTGATTCAGGGAGCCCAGGTTCAAATTTTGGTCTGGTCCATCACATTTTCTCCTTTTTGGTGCCATGACCTTGACATGGTGTGATAGGTGAACCTATCAGGGAAGAGCCTGGGTTGGTGTCTCATGGGGCAAACATCTTTAAGGATGGAGGAATGTGGTAGTCAGATTCGATTGCCAGTGGCCAGATAGGTCAGTTTGCAGAGCACCTGACTAGTGAGCCAGGTTCAAGTCCTGATTTGATTCAACACTTTTTCTCCTCTCTGGTTACAAGGTGTTGTCTGTAAACTGTTTACATTCAACTTCTTCCCCAGAACCATTGAACCAATTTCAACCAAACTTTTAGTTAGAACAAGGCATCCATTGGTGAAGGAGATTAAGTTTATTAGAAATTAAAGTCTAGAACGCTATTAAAGGGAGTTTTTTTTACTCTAAAACATGTATACAGTACAGGAATTTTTTGTTTTACATTCTTATGAAAGTAGGACCAAAAAGGTCAAATTAATATGCACACTTTCCAATATGTTGTAGACACAAAACTTTATTTCAGTCATGGCCAAAAGGATTCTTTTGGATCATAAATTGGGTCAAATATTAACACTGAGTTATATAGGAATAAATATAATTTGTACATTGATCATGTTGAAGGCTGAAATAAGAAGTTTCATTTATCTAAATGTATTCATTTATTGGGGAAAGACAAAGGTCTCTGTGCTAGGTGAGCATTGTAGTCCAGGGGTTTCTTGTTTTCAAAGAATTGTTATGCTATTCATAACAGCAAACTGTGTGTTTTGCCAAGGAGGAAATTCTCAGTACATGTATTATACATGTACTTCAATATTATTAATAAAGCATGTATTGAAACAGTTTTAATCTTTCAATTTCTCTCTCCATTTTCAGTGCCAATAGCAGTGTAAGCAGTGACAGTGGAAAAGACGGGAAACCCTCCCTAAATGGATCAGGTCAAGGTCACAGTGTCCAGTCTTCTCTCTCAGGCCTTCCAAATCTCACTCCATCCAAAACACGCAAAGCATGTGAGTACCTACATGGACAAACTACCGTAGTGTTACACACAGATAATGATAAAACTCTCACATGACATGCATGTTGTTTTCTTTCAATTCTTGTGCATGTTTGATTTATATTTATCATTACTGATGATCTATCCATGCACTTCCAAAATAATCAGTATTTCTTTATTTAGGTCGATCATAGAGTTGCATTCTTTATTGAAGTACAGTTGTATTCTCTATTAAATTTGCAGTCAAAATGTTTCTGATATTTAAAAAAACAAGAGGCCCATGGGCCTTGAATCGCTCTTCTGATAAACTGTACAACCTATCACTTCTATTTGAAGCTTGGAAGTATCCTGTATATTTACATAAACCCTTGAAATTCCAATTCACACTCTGAGAACCCAAGATGATTCTATGCCAATTAGTACCTGAGAGTTGGTCATGGTGACCTACTTATCACTTGTCATTCTCTGAGGACCCATCAACTAAGTTTGATGATTCTAAGCCAATTAATACCCAAAATGTTTTTTAAAATTATAATCATAAAATTTTATAAGTAGGTCAAAGTGACCTACTTTTCAATTATTTTACTCCAAGGACCCAAGATGCATCAACTGACAAAGTTTGATGATTCTAAGCCAATTAGTACCTGTAATATTTAATTAAAGCCATAAATTTTCAAAAGTAGGTCACCGTGACCTACTTTTCAGTCAACCTACTCCGAGGACCAAAGGTGCATCAACTGACAAATTTTGACGATTCTAAGCCAAATAATTCCTGAAAATATTAAATACAGCCATAAAATTTCAAAAGTAGGTCACCGTGACCTACTTTTCAGTTGATGTACTCCGAAGACCCAAGATGCATCAACTGACAAAGTTTAATGATTCTAAGCCAATTAGTACCCGAAATATTTGATTAAAGCCATAAATTTTCAAAAGTAGGTCACCGTGACCTACTTTTCAGTTGTTGTACTCCGAGGACCCATGATGCATGAACTGACAAAGTTTTATGATTCTAAGCCAATTAGTACCCGAAATATTTTATTAAAGCCATAAATTTTCCGAAAGTAGGTCACAGTGACCTACTTTTTAGTCGACCTACTCCGAAGACCCATGACGCATCAACTGACAAAGTTTGATGATTCTAAGCCAATTAGTACCTGAAATATTTAATTAAAGCCATAAATTTTCAAAAGTAGGTCATGGTGACCTACTTTTTAGTCTACCTGCTCCGAAGACCCAAGATGCATCAACTGACAAAGTTTGATGATTCTAAGCCAATTAGTACCTGAAATATTTAATTATAGTCATATAAATTGAAAAGTAGGTCACGGTGACCTACTTTTCAGTTGACCTTTTTTGAGGACCCAAGATGCATCAACTTACAAAGTTTTATGATCATAGGACTTAAAATGTCCAAATTATGCCTATAAAACGCTTTAAAATCGAATGCCTGCAAAGTTCAAAAAGTAGGTCACTGTGACCTACTTTTTAATAAATATGTTTTATGGCTCCAAGATGCATCATCTTACAAGATTTAATGATTCTAAGCCTCCCCGTATTCGAATTAATGACCTTAATTGTTTTAAAAAAGATTAGCCATAAAATTCAAAAAGTAGGTCAAGGTGACCTACTTTTTAGTTGACGTACTTTGAGGACCCAAGATGCATCAACTGACAAAGTTTTATGATCATAGGCCTTAAATTGTTCAAAATATGCCTCTAAATCATTTTGAAAAAGAATGGCCGCAAAATTTAAAAAGTAGGTCACCGTGACCTACTTTTGAGTCAACATGATATGAGGTCCTTAGATGCACCAACTGACAAGATTTGATGATCCTAGTCCTTATAGTAAGCAAAATATCAACATTTTAATAAAATGTAATTTTTGGTCAACTTTGAAGTGACCTTGAGACCACGCCCTTTGCCCCAGGGTAAATCCCCGTGCAAATTTTAATCTACAACATATCCTCATCCTTTTGTGTAAGTTTGGTGATAATATGCCCAGTGGTTCTTGAGAAGAAGATTTTTTAGCAGCCAGTACTTTTTTTTCTATTTTCCTAATTATCTCCCCTTGTTAAAGGGTCACAACCCCAGTTTTAGTATAAAAGGGAGCCCTTGGGCCAAGGATACCCTGTGACAAATTTGACAATAATTGGCCAAGGGGTTCTTGAGTTATGGCCCATATTCTAAAAAGTTTACGCACACCGCACAAATGGCCAAAGCATTAGCTCTTTGAGCCTTTGGCTCAAAAGAGCTAAAAATTAAAAGCCTTTTTTTTTTTTCACTGGGAAAAAAGTAATACTTTTAGATTGAAAGTTAGGTAATTTTACAGATAGGATATATTCCAATCCTTTTATTGGTATGTACACAGTTTCAGGGAGTAAAATTATTTAGTATTTTATACTGGTGATTGTACAATTTGAAAAGGGGAATTTGAATTGATTGTTTTACTAGTCTAAGGAGAGTACATGTGTGATGTTGAATATTTTTTTCCTTTTCTCTGGCATTGGTTGCACATTGTTCTATATTTTTCATAGCACTTGATGTATTTATGTCATATCAAAATACACCCAAAGGGAATTTCACACATAAATGACCAAAAAAGTGTCTTTGATTTCTCTACTGTCGTACTTTACTGCGTGATGCACTTGGGCTGTTTAGTTTTTCCTTAGAATGTTTTAATCATGGTTGGGATGTGTAATATACCTGTGCATATATATCCAGGTAGCTTTCATAGATTGTAGCATGTTTGGTACAGTTGAATCTTATGCATTGCATTCTATGATCATAATAACTATAGTATTTTTTAACATCATTGTATTGAAAACTGTTTAATGCTAGTCAGAAATATGTATTTTAAAGTAATTAATGGGTTATGTTTTGTTTCAGTGGAAAGCGAGGAAGAGAATTTACGAGCCATGGACAGAGGAATGGCGGACTTAGGTTTGGACATGGGTGGTGCGTGTGGCTAACTTCACTTTGCACAGTTTAATTTACATATCAGAGTATATACTGTATAGAAACCTCTAGATTTAATTTGTATTTTTAAATTGGTTTAAATGTGATTTAAGGTATGTGACTTGAATACATTCGAAAAACTAAACAGATGTCCCGAAGAATGGGGATAGGCGGTACAAACCCCCGGAATCCCTCTAGTTTATTAATTGATCCACCAATAACACCCTAAAATTAATGATTGGATGACTCAATCCATGCGCGACAGAACAGTGCACGTGGATTCCATGAGCAGTGCTAGTTAAATCACAACCCTTGTTAATGAAAGAATTTTAAGAAAAAGTAGAGAAATGAATGAAAATGTTGATTAAGATATCTTACTCTACATATTTACGGCAAACTTACATACTCGGCAATTACAGGATGAACGTTTTGACATATAAGGGAAATCTGCAATGCAGCTTTCAAGTTGTTAAATTTAATTCAAAATGCTGATGTTGATTCTTATTATACAAAAATTAAATCTAGTATCCATTAAACTCGTAACGAAACTATACTTTTTAAAATATAAATAATTGTATACATGTACTCTCTTATTTAAAAAAAATCTACACTGTATATATTATTAATGATAATAAAAATACAAATTTGTTTAGTCACATAAAAGGCATTATTCTTCAATCAAAGAAAAACAATTCTTCTTACCGAAACAAAATAATTTTCCTGACGTTAAAAAACATTCCTAGAGACCCCCCCTCCCCAAAAAAGATCGGTGATTGCAAATACATGTGCGTACAGGTAAAATATCAGAGCTGACGAAGAACGGTAGTTCACACCGCTGCGGTAAAGATGGTCTGTTACCTGCACCGCGATAAAAAACCGTGATGGTGTATCGCGGAAAGGATTAATACACCACGGAGGGGGCGCGGTTAAATGACAAAACCGCGTTGCCTGTACTGTATGTCATAGAAACTCTTTAAGCAGATGATTGATTTGTTTAATTAACAAGCGTGATTGCACATCTTTTGACACTCTCTCACATGCCCTTACCCAGTATCAATATTTTTTCCTGTATTAGTGTAATTTATAAACTCACAATTTTCTGATCACAAAACAAAGAATCGGAATGGAACAATACAGAAACTAATCCATCATTTGATATTTATCTTAGCTCGGAACTTTTTTTCTATGGTTCTTTTGTGAAAGACATTTTTTGTTTTATACAAGACTGATATTTATTTCATAATTTTTTCTATTTTCAGACTTTGATTATGATGATGACTTCCAAAGCTCAGGGTAATTAATTTATATATACATGTACATGTATTATTATCTTAATTGTAAATGTCATGTCTGCTTTGAATGTGTACTTATATTTTATAGGGGTTGAGTGCTAATATTTTAAATTTACTAGGAAAAAAAATTTAAATGATTCACCCTATAGGATATATATTTTTTTTGCCTAAAATGTCAAAGTACTGTGTATTTTAATTGACAGGCACAGTTTAACAAAGAGTCCACACACCATAAGTAAATCGGAACAACGATCGGAACAAAACGGCAGTATAGCAGAGGAAATAGAGGAGGAAATTGACGATATTTCTATCGAGGCTGATGACATGTTACGCAGTGAACGAAGTGGGGTAGGTTTCTTATAAGATAAGCCAAATTATAGTAAATCTGGTCAAGAGAGTATTGTGTTAATAGTTGTCTTTGTTATCACTTTAGTGCTATGTTTTCTTTCAGCAGATATGCAATATAGCTACATGTAATATTTATAATGACTGTATGCATGCTTATATTCACACATCTACAATAAACTACAATAATAAAGTTTTAATTTTAAAATTCATTTATTTTCTCTCTGTTTGAAGTTTGATGACCTTACAACAGACAGAACAATCTCCCAACAAGACGGTTTTGATTATGTAGAAGATCTGCAGTCACCGCGGTGAAGACTTACTGAATGGCAGCACCAATTGTGATATTATCAGACTTATTTATCTAGTCTAGCTCCTTAATCACAATTAGTAAAATCTCGCCCGAAGAAGGATGTCATTAGAAAATTATGGAATTGCCAGCAAGTGAAGAAAAAAATGAAACAGGAGAAATAAGTTGCCAAATTACATTTATGGCCTTTTGGTCTCTTCAAGGATGTATCTTGGTGTGTGATCAACCAGTACACGTATGAGTCTACATCAATTTCCTGCCATAAATTCATTGATAGCTTTAATACAATATTTAAACTACTCTTATTTTAGTCGTATTTTAATTCTTGAATATTAAGTACATATTCATTGAACACTTTTGCATTGTTTATGGATATAAATTACTAAGATATGTTTGCATTTGTGGTTATGTCATTGCAATATAGTGTGGTATATCAATATTTATGAATGTTGGCAAAGCGTTTACAAATATACATGTCGGTATATGTTTAGTATGAAAAAAAGAACATGTTTCTTGCAATTTTAGTTTTTTATGTAAAACTGCTCTTTAATTCTCCCATCTAAAAATTTGCCCAATTGACAAGTGTTCTCAAAAATGTGTCCAAAACTGCCATATTCATTAATTTTTATCTTTTTTTGCAAAGCATTTACATAACATAAAATAATGCTTTAGGATATCTTTATAAGTTAAAATTTCATTACAGTGTACCTGTCTGTATGAATATCAGTGCATCCATTTATTTCAAAATCCTGGGTACAGATATGAATCTCACAGATGAAAATTAATTTTGTTAAAACTTGTTGATGACTATTTGGAATATTCTCAAAAATATTATTGTGCACCTTTATGCAATTTCTACATTTTTTAATGATCTGAAGTGAAACATGTTGAGATTTATTTGTAGTAATGCATTTGTTAATTATGCAACTTGTCTTTGTTTATCAATATCAGTGTTGGTCTGCATTTTAATGTGTTTAGTATCTATGTTTTACACTTTTTACAGTTATAGCCTCGAAGAACTTCGTTCATTTTTCTTGATGCAACTCATTTTTCAAATTCAGTTCTTCTTTTAATTAATTATCTAGCAATAAGCCATTAACAGTTACCAAAAAAAGGCCAGTGTTGCATTGTCCTGCTACATGGACACCAAAATGGGAAAGAATCAAAGATATATCTATTTTTAAGTAGTGAGTGTAATCTATTTAACAAGTGAAATCTATCACCCTTCTTTCATAGAAATATATATATGTGTATTGATAATGTATACAAATCATGTACAGTAAAACACGCTTGTATCAAAAGTGCCAGGGATAAACAATTTTGATTCATTATAAACATAATTTGTTACATCCCATATCACATTTTAAACATACAGGGAATTAAAATCTGCTGTTAGTGTAAAATTCATTTTAAGACTGTTTGCTGTAACTGTGTTTTACTGTACTATAGTCAAATAAGATATAAAGGATTAATATTAGCAGCATAAAAAAACATTGCCAATTTATCATAAGAATACAAGTGTATCATAGAAAAATGTAACAATGAATAATAATTTTAACTTAGTTTCAGAGAAGTAGGTCTCAAAAAATTTCAAGAATAATCTTAGCACATGGTGTATGTTTTAGATGCATTTAACCTTGGAGATAGTGATCATACATATGGTGTTTGTAGAGAGAGAGAGGGAGAAAATTCTACCCAGTATTCATATCCCCTTGGCATTTCTATGCACTTCATACATTGATTCATGTTCAGCTGATCTGGTAAATGTGATGCATAAATCAATAAAGTTTATTTTTTAATAAATTTGTCTCAAGTATTTTTATATACCCGTCTTAAGACAGGATGTATTATGGCATTTATGTCCGTCCATCTGTCTGTCTGTTAGCTTTTTTATGTGCAGCTCATAACTTTAATACTATGAGGTCTAGAATTATCCAACTTTGTTAGCCAATAGGTTTTGGATAGTAGGTGTGTCACACATTAAAAGTAGGTCACTGTGTCCCTTAATTATGATGCTCTGCCAAATATGGAAAATCCTGCCTGGCTCATACCTAGAAAACTACAAGACCTGGAATCATCAAACTTGGTCAATTAATGCATCTTGGGTAGAAGGTGTGTCGCATCCTAAAGGTCACTCTGACTTTTAATTGAGGTGAAATACTTTTTTTAAAAATCAATATTTTTTTTTAAATTACACAATTCCAAAAGATATTAAGAGTATTACAGTATCCTTATTAAAAAGAATGTTAAATCAAGAAATTCACATTTTTTCATGATATACTTTACAGCAATCTATAATAAATCTAATGTTTCTTTTGTGTCAATAATAAGTGAATTTCCACTTCTCCATTGGTGTAATTATGAAGCAATGGTCAAGGCAAATTTTAATAACAGAAAATTGTATGTCAAATTAGAGATTTATAATGAGTTTTAAACTAGAGATTTCTGGTGGAGCATCTCTGACCAAGCAGGTATTTTTTGAAATATGCATGAATATTCATTTCTAGAAATTAGCATGTCACTTTTTAAGCCTGTTTACATGAAAGTTCTTGAATTTTCAACCACAAACATGCATCTGCAAATGAAGAAAATGTCTCACAGGCAGTGTGAGTGAGTGGTCTTCCATCTATATAAACTGGATTTAAGGGGGGAGGGGAGAGATTTTCCATAGTATTTGTCATAAAGATTTATGGTAAAAAAAGATTCATTAAAAAACTTTGCAAACCTTTTGAACATAGTTGGTTAAAAACACTAACTCGATAAGAATTGTTATTATTGGACCAAAGGATTTTAAAAAGATAAACTTTATTATGACAAAATAAATGTACTGGTATATGCAAGAAAACCAGAAGGTGTTGATGAAGATTTAAAAAGGTCATGATACTTTTATTTAAGAATGCTTAAAGGACCCCACAAGTACACTATTTTTATCTTTCTAGTCTTTTTTGTACATATGATTACAAACCAATTAAAATTAAATCTGATTAATTCAAGAACCTGCAGCACAACTGTAAGTGTAGTGAGTTTATGAGCAGATCCAATATCTAACTTTATTTAGATCATGCATTTATTTGTTAACCCAGTTTTTAAATCAGTCATTCACCTAAAAATATAACAACTTGCAAACAGTGGCTCTTTTCATTAAAAATCTTATGACAAAAGTTAAAAATTAAACAGCTTTGTAATTTTTTTGTTAAATAAAGATATTTTTTCTAAAAGGTTATTTACAATGTAACATAAATGTAATAGAAATAAATTTTTTTATGACCTACGACAGTTAGATACTTGCTGTAGAATGGGAAGATTTTTTTCTTTAATAGTCATATAAGATTTTTGTGAAAAAGGCCGCAGGTTGAAAAAACCAAAAAGATAAAAAGATTTCATCTAAAATTTATTTCATATTTAATTTATCTCGTAACATCAGTCATCAAATTCTGACTGAGAGTGATGTAAACTACTTGACAAAACTTTCACTGCCATGTCTATTCGTTCCCTCAATAAAGGAGTGTCTCTCACATCCTTAGATTTTTTCCTCAGTAAGAAATGCTGCATGAATAACTTGAGTCCCTCATGTAAATGGTGAAGTTTGGATAATGGAGCTATCCTCTGGAACACGGATTTAGTGACATCCTCCGGATTATCCAGCAGAACACTCTGTATCAGCTGTTTGAGGAATCTCAGCATGTGTACACCAAGTGTGCCAAATTCTACCACCTAAAACATTAATACATACATGTATAGTAAAACATATTTATATCGAAATGCTAGGGAAGAACAGTTTTCCTTTGTTATAAATATAATTTGTGATATCCCTTAATTTCATGTTTCAAAACCACCAGCAAGGAAAATCACTTCACTGTGGATGTAAATTCCTTATAGGTGTGTTCGCTACAAGCTTGTACTACTGTACATTTTGACAGGACTGAAAAGTGATAGCATTTTTAAAACAGCCATAATGATTATGTTTTACTGAAAAACACAACTACAGGTACATACATGAATGTACATGTACATGTCTATACTTGATGATAATGGATAAGTTATTATCTTTTTGAAAAATGCAACCACCTGAATATTTCATAAATTATACCTCATTGCAATAACTCTATAAAAGTGTTACATCAATGGACTCTTCAGAACACTTAAGAAAACTCAGAACTTGCAGTATTCAGATGCTTTTTTTTAATTGAAAGTGATTTGGACATTGAGCAGGGCTGAATTTGAAAGCTTGTGCTGATTTTCAAAATTCTGGCTTGATCTGAACTATACAAAATGTAATAAACAATTTATTTATACATGATCAAGAAAGAGATATGAAGAGTTATTTATATAAGGAAAAATCATATTCCCCTCGGGCAGAGCCCTCAGGGAATATAATATTCCTTAGCTGAATAACTCTTCATATCTCCCTCAAGATCTAATACTTGTCTTCTGGTAAATTGCACATGCTTGTTAACTAGAAGAACTTTTGAAAGACAAACTGAGGGTGAGTTGTTTTACCTTTAGGACAGATAGCGACATGGCTTTGGTAGAGAGTAACTGAGATAAGAGCTGACTGAGATGCTCTCTCTGTAACTGAGATAACTTCTTCATGTCCTTAAACTTGTCCCACATTAAAAACTGGGTTGACATCTGCAAAATAAATTCAAATGAATGCATGTTATGATTTAAGATACTATGGAACAAAAAGTAAACCAAACATTAATATTTAAAGGGTGTATGTAAATACATTTACACTGTATACCAGTAGTTAAAACCTATTTACAGACTTTATATTTGTATCATAATTTTAAAATTGCAATTGAACTAATTCAAGAGGAAATACTGAGAAATCAGATTAAATATTGGCATCATGTTAAAACATCCAACTCAATAAGACAAGTTGTGCTTCAACAATGGACCTTCTACATGTATCTACTGAACCTAGAATAACATGACTGGAAATTTTTATCAATTTTCAAAATAATATAATGTATACAGAGGTGGCTGACCTGGAATCTCCTGTGATACAGACAGAACTTCTGTAGCAGTAACATATAGAAGGGGTTAAAACTCTTCTCCTGTAGACACAAATCTACGATGATGTGGATTATCTCCCTTTCCTGCTGGTTTTTCAACCCCAGACGCAACAACTTATCAAATGCATCAATGTAATCCTACAGAATATATGAATATAAAATATTCATCAATTAAAAATTCACTCTAAACAAATAATTAATGATTCTTCTTTGTGGTAATATTACCAGATACATAAAATTTTAATGTAACAACAAACAGTATATGTGGCATAAAAAGCAGCATGAAAGTTGCATTGCAGACTAATGGTAGAAGCGAGTTAATATTCTGTGACAGAGGATGAAGACTCTGAAGATACTGACCTGACTAGACATGATGATGCAGAAAATGTTCTTCCTGATGTCAGTGTTCATTCTTTGTTTCCGTGCCAACTCCAGCAGCTGGGCGCTGACATCTCCAACAATTGACTCCATCTTGACTACAACAGGAAAGGAGTTCTACAGTCATTTGTATTATTCAAAAAATTGTATACTGTTAATAGAACGTGTACTGTGTTAATATCAAACCCAAAAGCCTCTCATGAGACTATTAAGCTACATGTAAATAGGTTTGCACTTATAAAATTGAAGAGGAAAGTTGCAGTGGACTAAAAACACTTTTTGTTTTACATTTGCAGAATTACATGTATAATATATTGATGTTTTCTAAACTTGTACCAAATTTTCTTAAAATCAAACTAAACCTGTTTTGAAAAAAAAAATGTTTACAGAAAGATGGATAACCATTGCATAAGCTCTTCTGGTCTTTGATAAAAATTCGAGTTTGAAGAACTACAAATATAAAACTATCCCATATTAAAGTCCAATGTCATCAATTGTTGAGAGTCAATTGGATAATAGTTTTGCACAAAATTAGCCACATTTTTCATCATTTTAGTAATCTTGCCATAAAACAAGCAATCAAGTCCAAATCCCTAGCAGGGGAAGTCTCCCAAATTAGATTTGAAATCTCAGACAAGAAAGTAAAATTGAACATGCTATATTCAAACATCCTACTTTCTAAATGATGATATGCCCCCCAAAAAACATACAAGTACCAGGGTAATCTAGATGGCTCTTCCTAATTTACTTTATTTCTCAAAAGTTTTTTTTTTTTCATTCATAAATTTCATGTGTAGTGAAGAAGCAAGCTTCCATCAACCCCCCTCTACTGACCTGCAGGTTTTGTGTCCTCCGTGGGTCCCTCCCATGCTGACCCCACCAACCACCATCTGCCCCGCTCCTCTGCATTCATTAGGTCCTTTAGACTGATGTGTAGCATGCCTTCTCCAAGTGTGCTTCCTTTCAACAGACAACACCTTATAGTGTCTCATGTACCAAAAATATATACATGTATTGTATATGTGACAGGCATGAAATTACAGTGTATGCTACATGTACATGTATATCTAACTAACACACTGTAACTTAATTCTTCAATTTACATGTATTTGGAAGCTAGTGATGTGCTTCTTCATTTGACAAATATGTGGATAACATTTCCATACAAAGCATACATAGATGTACATAAAAATTTTATTTCAAAATAGACTAAACTTAATAATACATAATATGTGAAACATAATAAACATGACTACCTACAATACACATTAACTCCTCATCTTCACTATATATACCTGTATAATTGAAAATCTCAGTATATTTCATTAATGCTGAGCTCTGCTCACCCACTGTTTTTATAATTTACCTCTCAGTATTCCCCTGGCCACTTTTTTGAGATGTTCCTGGTGCTCTGGATCGTAGTTGGGTATTTTCCTCATGTTGTTGTTCTTTATAGCCATAATGACCTCCAGCATGTATTTGACATGGGACGACTGTTCCCCTTCCAGAGATTTGGCCGCTGACTGAATCTCTAAGATAACCTCCTTTAGACCATTAGGGTTGTCTTTTCTCAGGGTAAAGCCAACATCTAGGGAAGAAGAGAATATTACTATGGATTATGTTTGATGAATGTACAGGAACTTTTAAAATTTTAGCATATTGGTACTTACACTGAAATTTGTTCAATGTGCATGAGTAATTGTCTTTTACTCCTTGAAATTGGTTTGTATATGGACCGCCAGAGCTTTGAATGAGTCTGGTTAGAACTGATTCTTATCTGCAATATTTTTGTCATGTTTATATCCATCTAATCAAGAGAGAAATTCTACTGGTTGAAAACAGGACATGTCTACAGTGAAAATTTGAGATGTCTCCCCATGAATTTTGATCACAAGGAGTCCATGCTCTAGAAAGATCACTTCAAAGGGAGATAACACCACTGTAATGTTACCAACAATTAAAAGCAATCCAGTTTCAATGGGTCTGACAAATCAACAGGGGATGCTTATTCCTCCTAGGAACCTGATCCCACCTTTGGAATTTCCAGTGCTCCATGTTAAGCTCTGTTCACAGATTTGTATTGTTTGTAGATTTTTTTCGATTGATAACTGTTCATTATATATCAGAGGAGGACATACAAATTGCAAGGTTAAAGCATATTCTGACCAGACAGTTTGAGTTGTCTCCTTCCTAAAAAGTCAACAACTATACGGTATAACATAAACAAGACTTACTCTTAAGAAGCATGAGTATAATCTGAATATCTTTTTCTTGAAATGACTTCACCAGATCCTCAATAATTCCAAATATTAAAACACTGTCCACAACCTATTGATTCCAAGTAAAACAAAACAAATGTTGCATATGTAACAAAATGATTGGGGTCAATATGATTATTTTTGACACAAAGAATTGCAACAATAAGAATTGATTGACTTTTTAACTAATTTTTACATTTACATGCACATGTAATTGTGAATTTCTGTAATTCTATTACTTGACCTAATGCTTGAAAAGACTCAGTAATATGATTGCATGTACATTGTATTTTGGTACATCTTTTTGGTGTGGGTACTCTACCTTAAATGTATAAAGGAAACCAAACAGCATCACAGTGTTGTCAAGGGATTTGTCCTCCAATCTGTTTCCATGGTTACATACTAATTTATATTTCTGGGCCAAGGTCTGAAGAAACATGGCTCCTATGGACAAAACAGAACTGGAAACATTTATTTTGCCATCTTGTTCAAACATAGGATCTAACACAATATTCTTTGCTACTGTGGCTGTACAAATAACTGTTGCTTTTCTAAGCCTATCTATAAATCAGTTCTCGAATTTTCAACTTTAAAGGTGAAGAAAACATGAGACCATTGGGTGTTGTCTTAATTGCAGTAGGTATGTAGCAACCTTCACACATCATATTCTTGAAATTCTAACATGAAAATATAAAAAAAACTGACTGGTTAACCACTCTATTATAAGAAGCAAAACAAGATTAAATAACTTAAGGATTGGCCCTTTTGAATATCTTCCACTAAAATCAACTCACCTACTTCTGTCCCAATGTTGCCATGGAGAATTGTGATGAGCAACATCATTTCCATGGCAAGTCTTTCTGGTGTCATGGTAACAGATACACAAGCACCAATCACAATGGCAGACAGAGCCTCTGTGACCTCTGCCCTACTGTTGCTACGATAAACAGCCTCTATCTGAGAAAAGATCTGTGACATGTTTGCTTCACTGGCCCTATAAAAAAAGGCATATGAATCAATCGATCTTTTCTTAATTTCTGCTGTAAGAATACTAAACTGTACACATAAATAATGACTACACACTAAATACATGTACATACAAGAATTGACTTTTTTGTCTAGTAAGTTACTGATAGGATTTAGAGCTAATCTAGGATCTAAAGCTTCATAACTATGAAGGGCCATCCAAAAACAAAAGAGATGTACCTGTTACTGTACATTAACATTTAAAAAAAAATCATTTTTCTTAGCTCTGACCATGCATATTTAACATTTTGTACCTGTTAACAAGTCCCTTGAGCTGCTTCTGCAATCTCTCCAACTGAAATTTCTTCTTCTCGTCACTGATCTGCATCCTCTTCCCTGGGGGAATATACTTCCCTGACTGCCCAGAACTCTTAACGATGTTCCCCTCTTTGTCTCTTAACCTACCATATATGTCCTCAGTAACTTCAGTGTCCTCAATATTTTCATCACTACTTTCATCAGATTTCTCTCCTTCCTTCTCTTCCTCACTTCCATCCTCCTCCTCAGCTTCATCAACATCATCATCATCATCATCAAATGTTACATCTTTCTTCTTCACTTTTTTGGATTCCTTTTTCTTTTTGTCTTTTTTTACTGCATTTTCTTCTGTCACTGTTTTAAATTTCACCTGTTTCTGTAGCCTATCATCGCTGGTAGATTTAAGAATGGATTTGACATCAGCTGATTTTTCTGATATTACATCAACTGTTTGATGATGATCATCAGAATCTGATTCCTCATCTTCATCACTGAAGTCATAGTCTTCTTCATCCTCCTCCTCACCTTCATCACTCTCATCTTCCATGTATTCTTCTTCATCCAAATCACTATCCATTTCCTGTTCTGAATCTTCATTGTCCCTGTCTATATGATAGAAGAAAAATCGAAATTTTTATGCCTTTAAATATGCGTCATCAAAGCTACATCTCCTGGTAAGCCCTTTTTTTGGTCTATGACTAGGATATTGCTCGTTAAATAAATACTGTGATACAGAATTTTCTGTACACTTTTTGAGAAGACTTTTAAAAAACTATGAAATGACTTCACAGAAAGATTTTGCATATACAGTATGTGTGTACATTTTTGTGTGCCAGGGACTTTCATTTCAAATCAGTCTTATTATACCTTTTCTTTTTTTGTGTTCTTCTTCATCTGAATAGTCTTCCTCCTCCATATCTTCAGGAGATTTGTCCAGTGCATCCAGTAAAACTGTACTGTGTTAAGGCTTCAGTTTCTAACATCATCACACATATATATATTTGTACATGTATAACATTCATTAACAATAAATTGTACATACATGTTCATTTATATAATTTATAGTAATTATTTTTTGACACCATGCTACATCCAAAACAATATCTTTCTTTACATACGTATAAATTTCAAATTTTTGTTATCTGACAATTAAACTTTAAATTATATATTTCATTGAATATCCCTACAAACACTTTGCATGTTATAAAAAATTAACGTCTTCATCCTCTTTAAAAGTTTGTCATGAGGAAATTAAAACCAATACCCCCCCCCCCCAACCCCCCGTTAAAATATAAGGATACAATCTAGTCCATCATTGACAAAGGCCTGTGGAAGATTTTTGCTCTTCCTTTTGTTGAGATGTAGGTTCTTCTCCAGTTGTTTTAACATTCTGTCTTCCTTCTTATTGTCCTCCATCAACTGCTGCTTTCTGTTGTCTATTTCCTGTAAATTAAACAGATTAATCAATTATCTCAAAGATAAGTTAGTCTTATATCTTAATTTTTTTCAGAATCTTATATAGAAAGAATACTCTGAATTACCCGGTACTAAAAATATAGTAATCAAGATAAGGATCCTGAATTAACATTCAACGAATCTCAAGGTCTTAGCAGTAATTATATGTATATTCTATTCCTTTCTCTTTTCTCATTTATTCCTTTCTTCTTCAAAACTTACTTCTTTTTCTTTCATCTTCTTCACTTCTTTCATTCTAGCTTTTTGTTTCTTTTTCTTTTCTTTGAGTTTTTGAAGTGACTTCTTCTTTGTGTCTGTTTTAACAGCATCTTCCTTAGATTTAGTCCATGTCTGCATATCTGGAAGCTGAACAACAGAAATATGATGATGTAATAATTTAATGTATAATTCATAAGAGAAAGTATAAAATCTCAATAAATGTAGGATTATACTTATGTTCTGGATCAACCATTCACTTCATTTGATTTCAGAGATCAAGCTATTTAAATGCTGCTTCATCATATTCGCCAATGTTCTGAAGTAACCTATACAGTATAGGAGTTCAGTAGGTTCTATTTATGTACAGTTGAAGGCAATAGCACCATCTGTACTTTAAATAAAGCATGAGAAGCATATCAGTCTGAATAGCAAAGGAGCAGAAGATGTTGATACTTTCCTTTACCTGGGTGCTAAAAAAGACAAGACAGGAGGAACAGAAGCAGACATAAGAAGGCTAGGCTTAGCCACAGGTGTCTTTTTTTTTTAAAATCTCTGAACCAAGTATGGAAGTCAGCACAAGAACCAACCAAAGAATCTTCAACACAATTGTTATATCTGTATTGCTGTATTGTTCCAAGCTCTGGAGAACCACCTAGAAAGATGATGAAAGGCTAGACACATTCCACAGAAAATGCCTTCTGAGAATCTTGAAGATACACTGGCCAGATAGGATCTCAAATCCACAAAATTACATAAAAGAACAAGACCCATCCCACTATCCACAACAATCAAAGTGAGAAAATGGAAATGGATAGGCCATTATTCTTCAAAGAGACACCAGTTCAAACATCAGAACTGCTTTAACATGGGCTCTGGAAGGAAAGAGAAAGTAAGGAAGGCCAAAGAACACCTGGAGGTGCACTGTAGAGAGAAACAGAAGAACTGGGGTGGAGCAGTTGGAAAGAAGCACAGTTTATTGCCAATGACAGTGGTAAGGGCGTTATTTATTGAACTGCATATTTTGGTGGCTTGGAATTGTCTCCCTTTGCATTTGCTTAGTAACTCTTACAGATAATTTAAAATATATATTTGTTTCAAGTAGATCTATAAGGAAACTCACTGATTGACGTATAGCAGAGCATCAAAAATACAACCCAATATCTAGTATTATAGCTGGATGTGACCACAGGTAACTGATATTTTTCTATTAGCTACACTGTACCAGATTATTATGATTATGAAAAATGTTTAAGAAACTTTGAGAGATATAGGGAATATCAATATTGTGTGATCTTATATTTGCTTTATCTAATTCATTGCAATGGTGTATATTTGTGAGGCTTGTTGAGTCAATATACACCACTTCAATGAGTTAGACTAAGCAGATATAAAATCACACAATTATAAATGATCTATTATCTCATACGATTTTAATTTTTGACAAAACTTTGAGATAACCCAAGTTCAATTATGTTGATTGATAACTGCCCAAATCAATGACACAAAAATTGATGATGTCCTCCTGTTGAAATTGACATGCAGTAAGAATACAAAATATGGAGTATTTGCTGCATCTTTTATAACATATGTGATAATCTTTAGGAGATTTATTTCATATGAACTTTTGATTGGAAGTTGTAATTCCACAAGAATGAGGACAGAGGAATCACAAATCCTATTCTGATTCTGTGTATGGAGATACGGCTTCTTGTTCTTGCAGATCCATGGTAAGATGTATATACTTACAGAGAGTATATCTAACTATGTAAGAAAGCATTGTTAAAAGGGGCTAGACTTTCCTGCATAGTCAAAGGAATCTTTTACCAACATTACTTATCATTACTTGTGAGAATGATTTATGGAGACCATTGAAGAACATTTGAGGGGGAGGGGGGAGGAGGGGGTGTTAAAATCGTCATCGCAGTAGCCAGTACAATACATGATGAAATTTGACATAACATTGAGGTAAAATGAATATTTTCTTGTTTTTAGTGAACATTTTTGCTCATTATTTTATTTTATAATGCAAGAACTTTCATACAAAGAAGTTTCGATAAATTGACATCTTGAAGCAAGGGATTATGTCAAAACCGGAAGTGCTATTGATAAAGTATGCCCGTGGATAAAGGATAGGTTATATAATGGTTAGTATCCATCTCACGTATGAGATGTAGATAATGTCAAATTAAAGTTTCAAACCAAATTACCACTCTCCCACATCGATATGCATGTTTTCGAGCTTTTTTCAGTTTTCTCTCGTCCTTCCTCCTTTGTTTTCTTGAATACAATATGTCTGTTTTGATCAAAGATCGGTGTTTATCCGAATCATCAATATTCTTCGCGAAACTTAACACATCTCCACGATATTTTTTTAATGCAGGGGCTTCTTTGGCTTTACACTTTAGAGTGAATGCTGTTCGCTTCCTGTTACTCATTGTTATTCACAAAATTGCTTAATATTTAAAAAAGAAACACTGAATATTCGATAAACACGTTTGATATCAGCATGTTTAGTGAATTCACGTCTTCTCACATGGGCGCAGCCATATTGGTTTATATGTCGATCCCGATGAAAGGACTGGAACCCCCCCCCCTCCTCCTTCATTCTTTTTAAATCTCGAATCGACACACTTTTCCTCTATTTTTGTATCCTAATATGCACTACATGTACATGTTATCGATAATGTAACCCTTTTGTCTCTATAGACTAGTTGATTTTAAATATATATCGTTTTCGACTTTGTCATGTTTATATATCAGTCGAAAATGATATATTTAAAAACAGCCTATAGTCACAAAAATAGGAAAAAGGTGATCCGAGATTTTAAAAAAAAAATGAAAAGGGGCAGCCCCCAAGTGCCTGTTAGAAAGTCGACTTTATTCTTGTTGTCACGTACCGTCCATCCGTCAAACTTATGACTCCCCATCCGTCTTAATTGACATATTTTAAAAAATTATTTTGCTGGTTCTAAATCAAAAAAAAAAAAAAAAAAAAAAAAAAGAATTTTGCCAATTTGGGATTTGCATGCCACAGGCACTGAATTATTTCTGTAATAAATGTTTTAGAGTTCAATTTTTTTTTTTTTTTTTTTTTTGCAGAAACAATTTAAGTGTCTACATGCTGTCTCTTACTCGGCTCAGAATTAAAAGTTTATTTGGTGAATTTTTTGATAAGATGAATCTTTCTTTCTGAGTTTAATTTGTACAGCTCAAGGTCGTACTCTCTCCGCTTTGATGTTATATATTGTAAAAAAATTAAAAAAAATATTTTGTATGCGGGGGAGGGGTAATAAGATTGTGGGGAAATGATACTTTGCACACATGTGCATAATCAATCATAGCAGCCAGAGCCTTTGAGTCTTTCAAGTGTCGCTGAACAGGAACAAAGACGAACATCGTTCTTTCTCCGAATTTAAAAGTGCGTGCGTGTGTACCGATAATATTACGTCATAAGCAATTTACGTCATAATGAATAGCTCACGTTATGTGATTATGACTTCAAAAATAATGGCTTATATCCTTGGGTAAGTAGCACTATAAACACAGTAGAAATTAACAAAATATTTTAAGGATATATGTGATTGTTGACGTGTAAAAATTGTTATCATGTAAAAAAGTGAACTAATTGCATATTTATCTCCACAAGTTAATCGAATTAGCTACGTATACAAATAAGAGGAAGATTTTATTATTTTCTCGGAGAGTTTATTGTTCTTTATTATCTTGAATATGATTTGAAGCTATATGTTTAGGGAGGGAAAATGTCTTACTTAAAAAAGACACACATTTTTTAGATGTAAAATATTCATGTACATGTATGTTCAACTTATCAAAGTACATGTATATATTACCGGTATATTTGAGAATTACTTTTGATTCAAGATTATGTACGTATCACTATCCAAATACAATCTTACATTGATTTTCTTATTTTTCTTAATATTTATGTAAAAATTCTTTGAATTCTTATAGATTGTTAACATGAAAGATCCATAGAATGGGGATATTTGGAAATGGTGCGCTCAGTTTTGGCCACTGGTTTGGATCCAGACGCCAAAGTAGTCAAAGCAGACAGAATGATCAGGCGCGCCGATTTCGATTCAAGTTTCTTAAACGCTTTCGTTCCTCTGGCGGATCTAATCAGACTCCCCCAACATGCCCAATCTCAAAAAACTTCGTTGACGCACTCGCAGAAGAGGACTTGCTTGTTCCAGGGTCAAGTGACCACCCAGCCCTCAATATTTGTGTAGGGATTCGGGATGATGAACTACAACATTATAGGAGGCTAAGATACAGGTCTTACGGAAGATCCAGATGGGATGACGTTTTTGCCACCCCTGGCGTACGCAAAGTTGCTCTAGAAATGGATGCCAATGAACCAATAATTGACGAGCTCCCCGCCTCGCTTTGGCTTAATTGTGTTGATCCCATACTTCCCGCTCTCATTTCTCTCAGTGCAATGCAGCGGCGCAGAACAAACCTTACTAAATCCAGGTTAGCTTTATCAAAATTAAATTTTCTTTAAGGTTGATTGATCCTTTGAAAAGAGAGATAACTCTCACTACGATAAATGACTATAATCTATTCCCATAATTGTTTAGTTATTTAACCAATTTCTGTCACATTTTGTCTCACCAGGTACGCTGAAATTGTGATCGTACTTACCGGTATAAGATTTCTTTTGGAAAATCTTAAGTATTGGTTATCGCAAAAATTTTAATTATTGATCACAGAGGGGATATGGACCTTAATTTGAAGAGGTTTATGTCTATATTCCTTCTCAAATTATTTGATGCCACTATATGAATTCTATATCTATTTCAATTTTTTTTTCAAGGCCCTCAGCAACTCCAGTGCAAGATCCAAATGAAGTATCTACAGATCATGGTGATTTGGACCGAGGGCCTCCATGGTTAAATGTCATTGGTCCTCAAAATGTCCACATCATTTTCCTAGTAAATCTTCCTGCAACTGCAGAAGTACGACCAACAGATTTGCTTGGAAATGAATTCTATATGGAGAAGATGCGGATGTTTGATATCGTCACGGTAACGTTATTAAATCACATTATGATGTGGAATTACATGTAGCATAAACTTAATATTACAATTTATGGCATTCTTTTAGCATTTTCTTCTCGAATCATATTGCTTCATTTTTATTGAGAAATAAAAGGCATGTTTAAAATTTTCATATCTAGGCAAGGAGGGGGCGCAAGAATGTACGATCGAAATTCACTAATATTACTCGATCACGTGGTGTTAACTCGTTGATGAACACGGACCAATCAAATAACGAGGAAGAAGAGGATGGGAGTTACCAATCTGAATCGGATTCGGGAAACGAGGGAAATTAAGATCTGATCCAAGGTCTCTTTGACAATAGTGCATGATTTTTGTCGTTTAAACAATAACAAAATAGAAATAAAAACAAAACTCTGAACATTATGTAATTACATGTGTATAGTATTTGATTCAGCTTTTGTTTAAGTTGCATACATATAATATGTATTTCTTTCATCAGTGTTTTTAAATTCAGATGATCAATGTTCTACTCGCTATATTTTTCTTTATATTCAATAAATTTATGCAAATTGATTTAGTGTGTCTATATATATATATATATATATATATATATATATATATATATATATATAAAACTTTCGTATGGAATACTCAATTCCTACGGTATTTGTCCAGTGACTCTTCTAACAAAACCAAACATTTAGTCAATTTATTGTCTGTTTTTTTTTAAATTGCCATTTGTTTGTCAACATTCACGACCAGTGTACGAGACAATTGACATTTAATAAATATGGTGCAGCTTGGGTTAAAGATCTCGGCAAAATTATTAAGAGGGAGCACGACCCTTCACCTTTGGTTCCTACGGCCAAGAAAGAAGTATTATAAATATATACATAATGAAGATGTGTTTGTGAAACACTGATGTCCCCGTATGGCAACTTATAGCGAAGGTTAAAATTTCTCAAATGCAAATCAAATATGTTGGTACCCAAAGTAAGGTCTTGTCTCGAAGAATATGCTGTACCTGTGAAATATGATAGCCCTAGCTGCAACCATTGAATAGATGTGGAAAATGTTAAAGTTTTCCAAAAGTAAGTCAAACATCAAGGTCAAATGGTCAAAATTAATGGTGCCCAAGGAAAGGCCTTCTCACAAGATATACACATGTGAAGTATGAAAGCCCTAGCATCAATTGTTCAAAAGGTATGACCATGGTTAAAGTTTTCCAAAAGTAAGTCAAACTCCTAGGTCAAGGTCAAAGGGTAAAAGATGTTGGTATCCAAAGAAAGGTCTTGTCACAAGGAATACACATGTGAAGTATAAAAGTCCTAACACCAACCGTTCAAAAGTTATGGCCAAGGTTTAAAGTTATGTAAAATTTTGCAAAACTGGGACAAACTCCATGGTCAAGGTCAAATATGATGGTACCCAAAGAAAGGACTTGTCACAAGGAATACACATGTGAAATATGACAGTCATAGCTTCAACCAATCAAAAGTTAAGGGCAATGTTAAAGATTTTGCGGACAAACAGCTAGACAGACAGACGGACAGGGCAAAAACTATATGTCCCCGAATTTTCGATTACTGGGACATAAAAATCAAATCAGTACTTATAAAAGAAATGTTCACTCTGTTACCTATGCTAATTATATTAAAACAAATGAATATAATACATATTATTAGATAAAGAAAACTTCATTTATATAGGTATTCAGTGATCAAGGTGTTATGTCGTGTATTAAGGTGTTTGAGTATTATCAGTACTTTCATCCAAAAGCGAATGTACATACAGATCGGGTTCAATGTCTCACAAAAACTAAAAGTTGTGTTAACCAATGAAAGAACAGTTCACATTTCTGGTGAAAATGAGTACCCAGAAGTCGTCGATGATAAACACAAGAGAAGAACTGAATGAATTAGTACGAAGAAGGACCGAAATAGCGGTATTTGTTATTCATACAAGTTATTCTATCTGTTTCTAACTAGCCACTTGGGTTTAGACATGATCTGTGTCAAATGTTAACGAAAATATTGTGCTATGACGCTGTTATGACGAGTATAAATGGCGGGTAAAACAATTTTTGTCTAACTGTGTGGGGTGCAAACGGAAATATGGTTGTCATGTTCATAAATTTACGTTGATTGTAGTCATTATGTGAAGGCTTGTAAAACATTAATTGTTTTCAAAATCTAATTTGTTGACGCTGCGAACTTTAATCTCATCATCAGATTTCGAGACTATAAGATTTGTACTGACGTCTCTAATGTTTTATCAGGTCTGGTACAATCACTAGATTTAGCTACGTAGCTTGAATTACCTGCATAGCTTTATTTACCTACCTGAAGTAGCTTCATTTAGCTACTAAATCAAACTTATTTCTTAAATTAGCATTTTTCCCAGAAAGTGCAGAAAATTGCAGTTTGATGCAGTGACAATTTTCTACTTTGAACTCATCTGAAAACAATTCATAAAAAAATCACCCTTGGAAATGTGTCTTTTTCTGCGCAATTGCAGTCAAAGTTCTAGAAGTTTTGGGGCTATATCCAACAGTTAATTTGTGACCTAACAGTTACTTCTTGAGTGAAATAACAAAGAAACCAGTTTTGGTTAACATGAGCACAATGTGAAGTAATCATACTTATCCATGCCTCATCGCACACAAGGTGGTGTACAGTTACTCAAACAATGGAAATACATATTTTCCTTAAAAATGTTCAAACGCAGCTATGTTAAAACTATCTCTGCTTTAGATTGCTTTTTAAATAATACCTAGAATAAATATTAGTTGTCATTTACTTGCGACTTTTTGTCTTTTTAAATTAAAAAACATTATTATGAAAAGTTGCCTTGAAATAGCTAAATAAAGCTACCTGAGGTAGGTAAATAAAGCTACGGTAGGTAATTTTAGCTATGTAGCTAAATGTACTGATTGTACTAGACCTGTTTATAATGATAGGGAGTTAAAAGGGTATCAAAATAGGAAAGCTGAAGTGGCAGGGGATTCAATTCAACCCATTTTAATTGTAACAAGCAGTTGAAGTTCAGTCAAGATTTCCTGAATCACATTTGGTCTGAGATTCTTAAGAGATGTCACGACAGTACAAAATTTTTAGTTTCTACGAATCTTACTGAGGTTAGGGCGAGTGCAGTTGTGTATTACTGAATGTCTATTCACTAATTACTGAGATCTGACTTTACAGCTACACCACATATTTGGAAGGTCTAGACTGTGACGTCACATGACGGCATATGCTAGTTGCATTTTTATAACGAAGTGTGAAAAGTGCAAAATTTTAACTATTAAGAACATTTAATCTACTATCTCTCTGCAATATCCGTTAAACAAGTGTATCCTGATTTTATCTTTTGATTCAAACTTTTGTTGTTGAGCATAGTTATGGCAAGATGCAATTTGTAAAGGATTGTGGGTCCAAAGGTTTCTGTGAAAAAAAAAATCATTTGGATCAATGTGCACAGTCTGAATTTTCTCTTCATCTATGCCTAGCTTGAAAAGCTCGCAGTGTGAATGGTGCTTTGCACCGCTTGCTAACATAATACATGTAACACAACACAGGTTTAGCCTATTCCTTCTTTATTTTGCATACAATTTAATATTCTGTATTTCACAAGGTGCTTTGGTTTTAATCTACCAGATATAAGGATATGTATAATACCTAGTATATATACACTCATTTACATGTATATACATTCATTAAGTATCATACATATTCACATACTCTGACATAAATAGAGATGTCTTCCTCTTCTCGATAGCTATAAAACTTATCGTTCAGACGTAATCTCAGCTGAGATTTGTTTTGGCTGGATATTTGAACTAATGCCTTCAAACTTTAATATAGTCATATACAGTGTATATTGGGAAAATCTTTTCAAGAGCAGAAGGATCATAAAGACTACTATTATAAATATGCAAGTATCTCAATTGAGTGGTAATTTTTCAAATCATGACCCCAGGGTCTACTGAGGGGCACAACAATATGAACAAGGATAAAAGCAGGGCTCGTGATTGTCTATAATTGGGGCCGTTTATGGGCTCAATTCCCAATTCAAAATAGGTACGTTTTTTCCCTGTTGAATGTGGTAATTTTCCCAATAGTCATTCCTCCCAAAAATTAAAGAAAATACAGCTGGATATGTAATAACTAAATTTGTTTTTCATATTCCTCTGTATAGCAAAAGAAATATTTAGTGGATAACTTAGACCAGAAACCCAATAAGTCATGATTATAAAGTATAATGGTTATCTCAGAATTTCCCTAAAGGTCGCTATCTTCCCAATTTTGACAGCCCCGGCCCCATTCCCAAAAAGTGGAGTGAGAGCCCTGAAAAGTTTGTTTTAGGAACAAGAAAAGAAATAATAATCTTCTCAATCAGGAGTAATCAAGAGTATAGTCAAAGTAAATCAAATTAATGTGCAAATATTCAAATTTATTTGTGGATTCAAGTTTATTCAAGTTTGTTCAAGTGATGGTCCCTGTGAACAGGTTGTGGCTATATAACTCTGCCCTTAAAATAATTTATATGAATTTGGCTGCATGATTTCTTTTTTAATTTACAGCCAAGATATCAGACACTTCATACACTGTACAGAAATCTCTCCACAGAATTTAGACTGAGATTTACATTATTATTTAATTTTTTTTTCAGGATACCCTTGCCAATCTTGAAAGACAGATTTATGCTTTTGAAGGGAGCTATTTAGAAGATACCCAACTCTATGGAAACATCATCAGGGGATGGGATAGATATTTAGCAAATACAAAGTATGAATTAATACAAGGCTGTCTAATGAACGAATGTACTACATTCCTTAAAAGCTGTCTGTCAGTGTCTTGAGCACTAAACATACTGTATAGGAGTTGAATTTGTAGGTGTTTAATTCCAATTACTTTTCTCTGGGAATTTGCGGCGAGGAACTCATTCTAGCAAAAATAAAAAAGATGTCCTCAGTGTTTTTAAAATGACCTTTTAACCCATAAAATTATTTGTTTCTGTAAAGTGCAACATTAACAAGAGTACAAATGTATTGAAAAGTAACATCAGTTATTCTTCCCCTATACAGTACCGCGGTATGTGTTTACTGATAGTCAGGGACAAGGGTGTAGAAATCATGTTCATCCTGTCATATTTACATCCATCATTCATTTACCTGTCTTGTATCAGCCTCTGTACATTTTAGTCTTATGAATGTAATCCATTTTAAAAGTCAATGAACTATTAAACATTTTCACCACAATTTTCATTTATGTAAATTGTTCCAAAGTCAACAATTTCTTTATACTACCGGTATAATTTCATCTTTCCATGTGAAGTATTGTGCTTTATTCATGCATTTTGTCATTTCATGCTCATTTCATCCCCTTATTAATTCCCAGCCAATCCATAGCCTCTTTTCTAGGAATACAAACAGTAAGGCAGACAAACGGAACAGAAAATTCAAGGAGGCAGATCGTCTCTTCTCCAAATCTTCAGTCACATCAGCTGCTGTGAGTTCACTTTTTTTTTTTTTTACATTTTCTACGAGTCTGAAGTGTTGCTTCTTGCTCTACTGAACAGGGTTTTCTGATTCGATCAAAATGGTGCAAGTACAATTTTTATCTTGAAATCAAGTACTTTGATAAATACCTTCATAGTTCATTTTGAAAACCCTCATTGTAATAGCAAAAAATGCAGATTACTAAATCTTTTCTAATAAATCTTCCACTGTATAAGCAAAAGCACATATACCTGGACTCTGTTTTTTTTTTAGGCTGTCAGTGGTATAGTAGATACATTTGACAAAAACCGTAAGTATATGGTTCATAAACAATACTGTATGTGTACTTAAAAAAGCGGGCTTCATATTTTAGCTGCTTTGGCGCAGACAACGATGCCGTAATTCATGAATACCGCTAAGAAATCATTTATAAATACAATGTATGGCACGGTCATGTATAGCGCTAATTCATGATTTCGCCAACAACTCCATACCAAGTGATTGCGCTAAATTTTGAATGTGCCAATTTATGTACAGTATTTTTCAGAATCGTTGCTTTCTTAAACTTGTTGAATTTAAATAAAATATGAAAAAGACAAGAAGGAACTGGTATATATAGGCACAAGTTTAGTGCAATACCAACAATGTCAGAAAATGCAGTGATTCATTAATTGATGGAAAGTAACTCTGCACACAAATCGTAAATCATACTTAAGCTTGCTGATGATTTGGTTTATTTCATTTAAAGAGCTCATATGAAATAAAAACTTAACAATTTTTGTGTCAAAGATTGGAAACTAATTAAAATAAACCCTTGGTGTTTTAAAGGAAAATATTTTACCATGACTTAATCATTATGAAAGTTAAATTGCCGATTTTCTAACAGGTGACCGAGACTGCCCGTCCAGTCCAGACTCGCAGAACAATCAGAACAGTGCCAACACTCCACAGACAAATGGACAGTCGGACAGCAACGAGTCCAGTCACAACCACTCAGGAAAGCTCCATAAAGGGGGTGGAGTTATACGGCACAAGAAAAATAAAAACAAAAATAAACACAGGTTAAATTTCTCTGTTATTGAAACAGTGACTCATAATTTATTTTCATTTAAAAAAATGTTTTAGTTTATACATTAATTGTTATTTCCATTTATGTTATGTTATATATGTATATTTTGGTTTTATTTTTATTTTTCAGAGTTGAAGTGAAACTGAAAAGAGGAAAAGATGTAAGTTTATTACAATTGATGACATATAAGTTAACTTTATTAAAAAAAAAAGTTCTTACGTACACGTATATTTTAACCATAATAATTGTCTTCATTATGTATTAAACGTGTATTGCTCATTAAGAAAAAAGGAAAGCATCTTCAATAATGCTTAAACAGTACAGTACATGTATGTGATAATCTTTACACTTCAGAAATAAGAGTGGAAAACACCTGAAAAGGTATAGAACAATGGATGGTTCTTTGTAACATTGTATTTCACAAATCATATTTTCATTTCTGTGGTGTCTAGTTGCTAATATTACATATATTATCAATGTACTCAAGTCAAAGTACATGTACTATATGTGTCAATGGTTACAAGTACATGTAAAAATCATTTTATATAAGTTTTCTCTTTATACTAGGGATTTTAATATGAATTAATTACATTAAACAATAATTGGCACATTCCCCGGTTATTTATTTTATAACCTTTTGGTACAATGACACACCCTAAATAATATTGTACACTTTTTTCCCTTGTTTGGTAATCTTTTTTTTTGTGGGGGGGGGGGG